CATAGCTCACAGTCCTGGCTCCTGGCTCCTCCCCCTCTCCTGCTTGCTCCCTCCATCTGCGGCAGTCTTGAGGGCTGGGTTGCCCCCAGCCAGTCTGCCAGCACGGCTCGCCCTTTCCAGTGCCCACTCCTCCTACCACTCCCTTGCCTCAGCTCTGCCTGACTTGGGTCTGTGCATAGTATGCAATGCTTTCCCTGTCACTGCTTGGAGCAGATAACAGAGGCTATTGATGAAATGCCACCGCCAGAGCGCAGTGACCTTTCACAGGCAGAATTGTACTCTTCTAAAACTCTTCAGTGTTTTTGTGATTGATTTCACAAAGTCTGTGTCCATTTTCAAGGTAGCTGACTGTACAGCCAAAATGGGTTGCTTAACTTTGCTTACCATTTGACACAAGGTATCAAATCATGGCTTTTAACATACCAAGCTGGGAGTTGTTTGTCCCGCTGACCTTTGCCCCTGGTTTTCCCTGGACGCTTTATCCCTGCAGGCAATTTGCAGTGCAGCCTGGCCTCTTGGCTGGTCTGTACCACTGGCTCTGCTCCCAGTGGGGTTGTCCCAGGGCCATCTGCTGTTCACAGGGGTAAGGGTAACTCTCTAGGACAGCAAACATTTACTCAGGAGCTGGACAGAGCTAGATCAAGCTGGTTTTTTGTAGTTTCGCTGTTCATTCTTTTCTTTCTTTCTTTCTAACAGATAATTACTTGCTTAATTTTTTCCAATCAAATCAGAACCTGTGAAAATCTCACTTTTTAAGCAAATTCTCATTTATATATGCCAAAATATTTATAGTAAATTATGAATAATTTAACATTTAGCATGCTTTTAAATTTTTTCTCTACAATTTAAGAACACGATCCTACATATCTACTCTTAATTCCAACTCCTTATTACCTATTTCATGCTCTGACTCCCCCAGTAGTTCCCACACTACCTTTTGAATTAGTTTTTCCAACCTAGGCCCATACATTCTGTTGGTTTGTTATACAGGGATCTGACTCTGGGATGTGGGGACACCAACCTCTGTAGTGCTCAGCTCCCTTGCTGAAATGGCACAGTATTTGCCAATCACCCACACATGTCCCTCCATATGTGTTAAATGTCTGGATTACTCACAATACCTAATAATACAATGTATGTGCCATGTAAGTAAGTGCTGTACTGTTTAGGGAAATAAAAGTCTGTATGTGTTCACTAGATTCACAATATTTTTCCTGAGTATTTTCCATTGGAGATTGGTTGAATGTGTGGATGCAGCACCCATGAATCTGTAGGACTATCTGTGTGCAGATGAGCAGTCCTAAGATACTGACTGTGGAAGAAGCCAGGCTAACCATCCCCAGGATATGTGATTCACTTAACTGATTCTTGTGGTAGGATTTATCTTGCTTCTATGTCTTTGTGCTATGGTTTAAATTCCCCTCCAATACTCATGCTTGGATGCAGGCCTTGAGATATATTCAGAATTAGAGAAAGCCAGGTGTCAGGGCCACACAATAGCTTGGTGGCTCTATCTTGCCATGTGATATCCTCAGCTGTATTAGAGGGCAGCAAGAAAGGCCCTCACCAGAGACTAGCATAATGCTCTTGGCCATCCCAGCCTCCAGAATTGTGAGTAAAATAAACTTTATTCTTCACATGTTATCCCAGCTTGTAGTATTCAGTTACAGCAAGAGAAACTTACTACAGTACCTCGTGTTCTCTTTCCATTAGAAGTGGAATCCAAAGGCTTGATTAGATTCCACTCAGTCACCATGGGAAGGTACACATCTGTGATGTGGTGTTTCTGATAGCTATTTTTTCCCTTTAATCAGAACTCTTGACATAAATTATGAAGCAAATTTATTTATCTTATTGAAAAAAATTATACCTATCCATAAAAACAGATTTAGATATTACAAAAAGGTATTAGAGGAAAGAAAGTCTTTTTCCTATATTATGCTTTCAATGACTACCCTTTCTTCTGCAGAAGGGAAATACTTCATCACTTTCAAAACATACGGTCATTTAACAGCACATTTAGGAGGTCCTTCCATTTTCCAACATGTTGATTTACTTTGTGCTTTAAGTCCAAGCTTTCAGGTTGTGTAAATGTTTGACAATTCACTTAATTAAAATGCTGCTGCTGGATACTTAGATGGGTTCCAAGATGTACCTTTGCACATATATGAGAATAATTATAGACTACATGCCTTCAAGTGAAATTGTTCATCCAAAGGTGTGTGAATTTCAAATCTTGATAGATATGGTCAAACTGCTTTCCCAGTAGTTTATATGAGATTATATTTTTACAGAGTATACATACAAAACATCTTTTCCCTTGTGCCCGTATCAACAAAAGTATTATTAATTTTTTAGTCTTCCTCAATGACAGGTGAAAAAGGTATCTCATAGGCTTGGTGTGTGCTTACCTCATTTTGAATGTGTTGCTTCTTCTATATTTAATAGATCAAGGGGACTATTTCCTAGATTAAGAGAAGTCTCCCCAGTTTATCAAACATATGCAATGTTTGTGGCAGGAAATCTGATCGCTTTAATCAATATGTTTATCATTCTCCTTTTTTCCTGGTATTAGAAGATATAAAGCAAATATTTCCCCCACCCCAAATAAGGGTACATCTGAGGGAAAGAGAACTTCATTTTCTTCATTGCTTTTGTTGTAATGTCCATTATAGTAATAGTCAGTGGGGTTTGTAGAGGCCCTAGATGGCTGGGTGCACCGAGGGAGATAGGTACACGAGGGCTAAACACTGACCCCCAGAACTTGCTCCAGGAGAGAGAGGGCCTATGGATACCTGAGAGAGAAGAGTCAAGTTGGCTGTCTCAAGCTGGGGACAGTGCATGGCCACTACAAAGCTGCCTGCATGCTGTATCAGTACAGATCCAACAACCTGTTCCTCACATAAGCCCTACCACATGCACCACATCTCCTGGGACATCTGATTCACAGCAACATTTCCACATCTGCAACAGTAGCCACTGAGCAGGGGGACAACACTAGTGCTGAAGACCTTGGTCCCTAGTTTGGTGTCCGCCTCGCATAACAACCACAAGTCCAAAAAACATGTGTAAGTGTTCTGAATGTTGTTGCTTCCCCTCAAAGCATCTGCATGGGTGGGGAGAGGGTTGGGTCAATAAACTTTCACTGGAAGGATGACTATTGATCCCTACTACATATTTTTCCATTTGATTTCACATTATCTAGAATGTATGTGTGTGTATTTATATTTTTACATGGTATACTTTATTACTGTTTTCTTTTATGGCTTTATGATCACAATTTTGATCAACATTGAACTTACTTTGAGAGATCAGCTCCCCCTGCCCCCTGCCCCAGGTGGTTGACCAGTTGTCTATCATTGTTAACTCATCCAACTCCTCCTCACTGATTGAGTTATCCCCTCGTACTGTATTTATATTGCACTGGGCCATCGGTGTTAGATAATGGTAACCAGTGGTTTAAATTACTCTGTTACAGTAGTGATTGTCTGGAAGGGACACACTTTTCTTACTATTCTTCTTTATCTAATTTTCCAATATCTCTACAGAGTTTCCCCCTTTGCAAACTTGAGAGCTTGTATGTTTTTTCCCTTCTAGTCCTAATGGTTCTTTTCTTGGGGTATTACAACTTATTAATCAGCTTAGAGCATTCAACATCTTAAAATATTATGCTTTTCTATGAGCATGAGGTATATTTATTCATCATATTTCATATCCTCTAGTAACATCCTTAAACTTTCCTTCAGTAGGTCTTCTACATCCTTGTTAATTTTCTTCCTTGATATTTAATAATTTTGCTAAAAATTATGGAACAGATCTTTTCCCACTATATTTTCAGTCATCAAGTGCACATAGAAAAGTAGTGCCTTTTGTATATAACTCTTTGCTCATCACAATACTGAATGCCATTGTTTGTAATAGCCTTGCAGATGATCTTCTTGTGATTTCTTGTGGTATAGATCTTTTATCTGCACTAAATAATAATTCAATCTTTGCTTTTTCAATATTTTAAATTACATAAATGTGCTGTTTCTATCACCAGAACAAGTAAGTGAGAGTGGACACATTAGGTTTACCTCCTGGGTTTCATTTTACGGCATGATCATTAACTGAAGTTGAAATACTTTTTCTTAATATGTTTTTATTACATTTGATGTATAATTTAGTCATTATATAAACTATGGAGTCTTTTGATGTAAGAAAACCTTCTTTAAAATTTTTTGTGTTGGGGCTGGGGTGTAGCTCAGTGGTAGAGTGTGTTTTCCACATGCAAGGTTCTGGGTTCAATTACTAGCACCTACATCAAAACAGAACAGAAAGCTTTATTGGTGTATCTGCTTATGTCTTGAGAATGCTACCAACTTTACACTCATCAACATCCTACTGCAGGCCCTGCACATGTTTAATAGCCAGGGATAGCTTGTGTCTATCAACAGTATCCCAACTATGAGTCATCAAGCAAAGCAGCACATCAATGAGGACATTAAATCTTCACTTTGGTTTGATTTTCCACGGCTGCAAGTGGATGTCATGGGTATTATCACTTTTATCATGGGTATTATCACTGAGGCCAATCCTTATGATATGTTTGATCTTATCTTGCTACTCACAGTCTGCGTATCTTTTCAAGCTCATTATTTTTTGTTATCTTCATTCATATCCTTCAATCCATGTCACTTCTGTGACTGTCACATTTTGAAGAACATACTTTAATTATGTTTTTATGTATGTCACAACTGTCAATCTGACAAGACAAAGAATTTCTTTACTCTTTCTGGAAGTCTAAATGCTATGCTGTTTGTTAAAATAGGACTCAACTGATTTGCAATTTTTAATTTCATTTAAAAAATTTTATTAGTACATGTTTATAGTAAATAATGACTACATTCATTATAGGGAGTTGGTATATGTGCAAAACATGTCTTATTTTTTTTTATCCTCTTCCTCTCCTCTCCTCTCCTCTCTTCCCTTCTCTGTCTCTCTGATTTTCATTTTTATAGGTCAATGGATCTGGACTGAAAAGCACTTCTTTAGCACCTACCATGCAGCGTTCACTTGCAGGTCACACTGCTTTCAGTCTGCACAGTATGAAACTGGATGGATGTCTTGGCTTGTGCTGGTGCAGCCTGGAAGAAGGGACTCAGAGGGGAGGGCACCTTTTCACTCTGACCCTTTCCACAGCACCACACTCTGCCCTCTCCCACAAGTTCAGTCCGCTAAGTGGCAGTTGAGTGAGCATCCATTCTGGAGTGCAGTGTTGGGGACCAGGCTGTGCTAGAGTGTGTCCTAAGAGAGCTGCACTACCCACGTGACTTCATGATGCCCCTGAATGTGTCCGGAGTGCCCACCACAATCCAGACTCTAGTTTAAGAATCCCGTCATCTCACTTAGCTTACAGAGCACCAAGAAGGGTACTTCTATACTGTTACCCTCATCTCGAGAATGAGGAAATGAAGGCACAAAAGTTAAGCACCTGTCTAGTATCACACAGTCTGGAGCATCAGGTCTCCTAAAAATCCAGGCTTTTCTATCTGATAGGCTGTGCAAGAGGAAGGACAGGAAAAGTGTAACAACTGTCTCTAACTGTTGAAAGTGATCATATGATGGAAACCATAAGTTTGTCCTGTGTGTATATAGCATAAGACCCCTCTCCCCTGGCAGTAAATTCAGTTTCTTAGTTGTCCAGGTAATAGTTCTGGTTACAGTCCTTGATACTTTTGTCTCCCAGAAATGCTGGTCACTATGACACATATTGTAAGAAATAATCTCCAACTGACAAGCCACTCTGCCTCTGTACTTCCTGCTTGCTTATCTTATATAAGCCCTAGACCACCAGAGGTCAAGGCCTAATGTTCTGCAAATGACCCCAATCGGTGTCTGTCGACATAAATAAATCAGCCTCCAAATCCTGGGTGTCATTTTGATATTTCTGCTTGCATATTTGGAGCAGTAGGCATAAAATGTTGGTAAGTAGATTTCTTTCTTTCTTTTCGTAGTTAACCAGAAACGTGTTTATTCAAGAAAATTCCTTACAGGCTATTATAGAATACCCATCATATTTTAATGATATAGAGATACAGACAAAGGCCTAAAGGAGAGTTACACACAGAAGAACAAGACAGACATTGGAGCTTTTGTGCAAGCACAAACCTGACCTTAGAAGGGAAGGTGAACTATTGTAACAGAAACAATTGCTCACTATACTCAAAGAGGACCACATCTCAGAACTGGAAATTCACTTCAATAGACAAAATGGAAACAAGACTTGTTCTGTGTGTAACAAGAGCACAAAATTCAGTGTCTCTTGCCACAAGGAGAAAGAATATACTCAAGGAGGTTATTAGCAGTTTTGTGCAGAACTAAAGCCAACAAAGCAGCGCGGCATGGGCCAGCACATCACCAGCAGTTCAGGTGCTCTGAGTTCCAGCACCAGATCAGCACACAGCCTTCTCCTCTCCCTCCCTTACTGGATACCCTCACAGTCACACACCCATTTGTGCAGTGATCTGAAGGCTGCGCTGTCCCAGGAAGTGCACACCTTACCAGCAGTTAAGGGTTGGAAATTAGGCTAAAAGCTCTACATTTAGCAAAAAGCTGTAGGACATGGCCTCAGTACTTGCTGCTGATGAGCGAGGAGATGCTGGTAAGTTAGGCCTCGGTAAGCCTGTTCCAGTAGCAGCCATGACAGGCACTACACATTCACTGGTGACATCCTAGAGCAGGCCCTATAGAGTAAGCCATGTCCTGCTAGTGAATGTTAGCAGGCATGAAATTTCATAAGTGTACAACTTTTTAAATATTAACTGAAAAAATAGTATTTCATTTACACTTACTGAGGTCCTTATAATAGTTCTGAACATGTAAGTCTTCCCACTGTGCTTTCCAGCATGAAAACATGAAGGGCAAGGACAAAGAGTACAGGCCCAGTAAAGCAGTCTTCAAAGACAGTAAGCTGAATTCTACCCTACAGACATAGGCTTTCATCCTTGCTCTTAAAATGAAGGGATTTGGGGACCCACAGGGTCAGTGAATTTGGTCCTGCTCTCGTCTGCCATGTACATAGCCTTAAAGCCTTAAACATCTTTTAAGAACAGGCTGAATGTGCTAACAAGACTGCATTCAAGCAGTTACTGAGGAAATGAAGGAAAGAAATGAAAGGAGGACCAATTATTGATTTTAAACTATGATGGTCTTTTAATTCTCCCAGTCAATATATCACATGAGAGAAAGAGGGAGTTGGCCTACTTTTCACTTGGTTGCTCTATCAGCTCCATTCTCCTATGTTTTAAAATAAAGCAGCTGGAGCCAGGTATAGTATACATATGTAAAGCATCTGAGCAGACCTCCAGAAAGATTCCTCCTTCATTTTGATTTGAGTTTGTAGAACCACAACTTCCCACACTTGCGTCAATGTCTCTTCACTTACTGTGTTGACAATGACATGATTTTGGTCATACTGTGCACCCCTTTGATATCTCATGCTCAGTTTGCCTTCAACTTGATGCCATCCTGCATGCAACACAGCTTTCTTTTAACACAAATCTGATCATCAGCACCAACATCTTTTATGAGCTGTGTTCTGAGAAACTTCAGGTCTTCTAAGTTTCCAGGTCATCATGAATAACCCTATTACTGTTGCGAAGCCTGAAATACTTTTCTAAACAACAGATAGTAAAAACCCTATGTGGAAATAGGCAGTGAACTCACAGCAGGGGCACTTCTGCTGGTGACTTCAGGAACAGCAGCCTGTGACTGCAGTGTTCACAAGTAACCACACATCGTCAGTAATTGCAGGAGTGGAGACTGTGCCTACTTTAGGTTCAGTCTTTTTTCCTCTGAAGTTTTCTCTTTCAAAAAGAATGATTAGCATCTCAGAAAGTTCAACCTCTGTAAAATAGAGACTTGAACATTGCTCCAGGCTGACATCCCATCGCAGAGAGACAGGAAGTGGCCTTTTCCCAACACATGTTGATCACCAGAAAAATGTCTCCACTATGTGCAACCCAGCTGCCTTCTGCAACTCTGCAAGATTTGGTAGAAAATGAATCATCAATTTGTTGGCTTTCTTGACTTTGACCTTGAAACGGTGGTTCCAAAACTAAATGATTATAATTTTGTTTCCTTGGGCCCATGAAGAAAGCCAAACTTATGAGTTGAACAGAAGAGATCCTATAATTTCCCCCTCTTCAGTCTTGGTCTTCCAGAACTGGTGGGAAGGCTTTCATCGGGAATATGTAATCTATTGTAAAGCCAAGGTTCTCTGGGTCACTCTGTACACTGACTGACTTCACTCTGTACCCCATCTCCTTAACCTTGGCAACAACTCCTAATTCCTCAGTGCTGGAACCTTGGGGCCAAAGCTTTTGTCACTGTACATTGCCATGTGAGCATCAGAAAAATTGCCTACGATGGGTCATGAAAAGTACAGTTGTCTTCTGTGCCCTTTCTGTCTTCCAAGTCCTGTTCTTTCTTCTAGCAGGTGCTGATGATCTATAACCCATGTTTCTCATAAGTAACCAGATGCCTCTCAAACTACCACAGACCCCATGGAGTGGATTTCTGGCTAACTCATGGAAGAGTTTTCCAAGGATGAGAGGAGTTTTTAAAAGAAATGAGTGATTTAGGGAGGGTTCAGAGAGAGACTGGTGGGCCCTGGTGAAAGCAGTGACCCTCTTGCCTCAGCCTCCTGAGTTCAGGAATTCAGCCACCATATCCAGCTAATTTATTATATATCTTATGTAGAACTAGGAGAGGAATTTGAAGCCTCCAAGCACAAAAAAAGTGTATAAGGAAATAAAAATGCTGATTACTCTGTTACACAGTTTAAAATGTATAAAGTTGCCTAATAGTTTAAAAACTTTGTGTATTTGTATTTATGAAAATATATAAATATATATTTATATAAATATACAAATATAAACATATTTTAAGTGGCCTGTTTATATAGGCCACTTAAAAATAAAATAAATACTGTTGCAACAGAAATATTTGGATCAACTCTGATAAAAGCAATAGCTGTATGCATGAAAAGGTGGGGGAACAGCCTGGTTGAGAACCAGATTCCTGAGCAGGACTATGTGGGTTTGAAGCCCAGCTGATCAACCCCACACCTAGTGCAGCGTGACCCGGCAAGTGGGGGACTCACTCACCGGCCCACCACTGTGCTACAAACACTATCTCCCTGCCTCACACACAGGGAAAGGCCTGTGACAGTGTGGAACAAATTCTTAGTATGATTATCCCGAAGAACACCCACAGAACTTAAAACCCTCAAGCATTCTGTGCAGTAAATTATTTTTATTAATGATCACAGCTGATCCATTGTTATGAACAAAAGAGAAATGGCAATTAACACAAACCTAAGGCAAGAAAATATCAGACCAAGATGGATTTGAATTCTGACTTTTTAGAAAGGTCTTCAAAACTTTATCAATGTTTATTTATGTTATGTAATCAACCTGTGCCTGTCGCTGAGCATCTGTGATCCTGCCTCATACAATGCGAAACAAGAAGAGTCAGAGCAGCATGGGTCATGGTCCTTGTCCTTAGATGGTCTAAACTCTAGTTGCTGGTGATTAGAAAGACACAATTTAAAAATCTTTAGGATCTAATGGTCCCTTAAAGGAAGAGTGATTGTAGAACGCATTTGCTTCGGCAGGGAATGTCTGATGTTGGTGATCGAGGCTGTGCACAGTGTGTTTGCATCCTTTCTCCAGGCTGCCTTGAAGCTTTGCACAAATCAGTGAAGAACACAGCACTGGGGCATGGCCCTCAGAAACCAGGGGCGGCAGCTCCCGAAGGCTGAAGGTGAGGACCAACTCTTTCAGGTTCCGGCACGGGAGGCTGTGTCACTGCATCGTATTCTGTCTCTGTGCCTCAGATATCTGGCTTTGACAGTGAAGGACAGAAGGGTCTGCCTGAAGCTGGCAGCAGATTCTCCCAATATTCCCTGCTAGCCCTGTGTTGAAAAATATGTATCATGAACTAAATAAAAGATCCATTCTTATTTTATAAGTCCAGTGTTGTAAATGTAAACACATGCATGTACATGTGCATATATGAGAAAATGTGTGCATTCTCACACATACATGTTTTGGTGGATGATGAAGCTGAAATACAGGCCTTTACCTTTCCAAGCGCTTCCAGTTCCTAAATTATGCTATTTGTTATAGTGAGCTCTTTTATCAAGGCCTCCTGAATTATGAGATTCCAGAGAGCTTGCCCTACCCCTCCCACCATGATAGGACCCAGAAAGAAGTCACTCTCTGCAAGAAGGGCTGAATACCACACCTGCCAGCACCGTGTCTGGGACTTCTAGGCTTTAGGACTGTGAGAAATAAACTTCTGTTGTTTATAAGGAACCCAGTTTACGGATTTTGTGATAGCATCCTGAACAGACTGAATAAGATAAAAATAAAATGTGAAAGGAAATGGTACTAGGAGGGAGGAGAGTGACTTATTTTTATTTTATATACTTCCATACGGTTTGAATTTTCATTATCATATATGCATGGATGGTAATGAGATAAAATAAAAGTAATAAAAATTCCTACCTTGCTCTAATCCAGGGTTTGGTGTGCATACTGAGAGCACTTCCCCAGCTTCCGTGTTTTTCTGAAGCAGGCGGCAAAAATCCCCTTTCTGGGGCCAGCTCCTCTGCAATTGCCCTGATGTGATAGGGCTCAAACCCACAGCACCCGCCGATGTACCGGACCCCTAGCTCATAGGCCTCTCTGGCGTATTTCTGAATATCCCATCGGGTGGCAACTCTGGGTTCCAGTCCTGTGATATAACAGTTATGGCATTTCTGTCCCCTTTGTCAAATGCATTCTTTCCAATGAAAGACCTGTCACCTTAGTTATGCATTCCTCAGATAACTTGTGTTTGATCAACACTGAAGGCTTTTATCTTAACGCAGGATCATATTCTACACTGTACCTCTACTTTGTCATAGCCATTGCGTCTTGTCACAATGAGAAACCTAAGGCCCTCTTTCCATGTGGGAGCTTACCAAAGGGATATTCTGGGAGGTCCAGGAAGCCTCCTTTGCCACAGTCAGGTGTGTGGAAGCCCAAGGGCTGTGCCATCAGGTGGCGGCTCAGCCCCGCAGCCTCCAGGCCCAGCTTCATGAGATGAAGTGTCTGCAAGCTGGTTCTGGGCCCAAATCTGCAGTTCACACCAACGATGTCAGCCCCTGCACAGGGACAGACCAATCGTACTTCATATATTCCCTTTGTGAAAGTCAGAAGCTGTCTGAGAATTAGCTCCCCCAAGAGTTACCCATAAAGCAATTGATTCCAGTTAGTTCTTTCATTCCCTTTCTATTTTCTTACTGCTCTCAGAATATTAAACCACATTGTTAGGGTTCCTAAACAGTTGCTGGGCCACCCCCATGCCATGGGTTCAAGTTACCTGCTTTTGCCAGTTCCACGGCACACGCCCCAGGAGCCACCCCGTGCATGTCGCCCTCGGGGCCAATGCACATCGTCACCGCCACAGGCTTGCCCGATTCTTTCAAGACTTCCACAGCCCACACGGCTTCTTCCACATGCTCAAAATACTAAGAGAGATGTCACTTTTTCTACTGGTCTAAGTATAAAGTACAATGATAGAACACAAACATCACAGGACAGTCATAAAAATGACTACACATAAATGATAAAGCCTGCTAACGCATGTGTCTCCAGCACTCTGATGAAAGGGTACCTTTCTGAATAAATATGTTAATTTCTTCAAGGATAATATATAGATTTTCATTCAGAGGTCATCATTTTTTTGTGTGTGTACTAGGGATTGAACTCACAACTTTGTGCTCACCAGGCAAGTGCTTGAGTCTTAGAGCTAAATCCCTGGCCCATCAGGGGTCATCATTTAGTGAAATGATGACTATTAGTAAAACACACATATATGTGCATTTGAAATAATAATTTTGAAGGACTGAAAATTTAGATTATCAATTTTGGGCTCCTGTTTCATAGAACTTGGATAATCTGAGAAACAATGGGTAGTTGGTCATGTGTTATGTTTGAAGGCATTTTTACATATATTTGCTTCTAATTAGCTGGTGTGAAGGGGAGGGAAGCACATTTTCGCAGAGAAGCCATAACTGATCAGAGAAGAAGCCACTCAGCAGCCTTGCCAGTGGTGGCCTGGACACCTGGTCTGCTGAGGGCGCACAGGCTCTTCCAGCAGCACCCCAATCCAGAAGCTAACTTCGAGGAAAGTTCATTCTTCCTTCCTGATTTGGAAACAAATGGCAGAAGCAGTGTGTGAGGAATGATAGGATATGAGAGGTTCCTGAACCTGCAAAGCCGTCTCCCTCATGAGGACTCGGTGGGCAGCAGACAGTGGTCTCAGCCAATGACTCCTCTAGCAGCTCAGCTGGGCCCTGTGGCTCTGGGCCTTGGGGAGGCCAGTGAGGCTGGGTCTGCCCTGGAGTGAGCAGGGATGGAGGGGAAACACCAGCTGGGCCACTCTCCTGTGGTTCAGGGTAAAGCAGGTGTGAGGGGTTAAGCCAGGTGGTGGCAGCTGTTTGTTGGCAAATGGGGAATGACAGTTTTGGCTTTGGATGGAGGAAAGAGAATGTTCTAAATCTTCCTGTGCAGTCAATGGCCACTGCTTACCAACCCTTTCTTCATGTCATGTGTTCTAACTGGAGGGAAAGCAGAAGTAGAAATTGAAGAAGAGAAGAGAAGTACTCAGTACTAAGTCTTCCTAGTGGGGCCTGGGTGAGCGGAGCAGCCAAAGACAGTGGTACCTTAGTGCTCACCGGTAACCACTTCAGGGAGGCACAGGGAAGGTACTGAGAGCTACAAGTATCAAAGAAGTCATTTTGGTTGGAAAGGTGGTGAGTCACAAGGCAACCAACACCCACAAGTTTGAGCTTGCAAAGTGAGTCCAGGGACAAAATTTTTGCATCAAAATGTGTTGAATACCAAATTCAAGGAGTTTCAAAGCAGTGGAGTACCAAGGTCTGACTGTATCTCACTCCCAGCGTGGCCTTGCTTGCTGGGGAGGGAGATGTTTGAGCCCTGTGCACTTCCTCTTGGAAGGTCTCCAAACCAGTCACTGCAACCACTCACACCTTAGAGAACAGAGGCTATGTCAGGCCTCCCTGGGTCATCCCTTGGCCTCACAGGAATCCAGTCTACAAATAGGAGAGTACTGGCTGGCCCTCGATGCACTGCTGGATGCTGCTGACCATGCACACACAGGACACAAGCACATGAGGCCAGCCAGCACTCTGACAGAAGCTGAGGCTGGGCTTACCTCTGCAATCAGGAAGTCCACATTTTTCCTGGTGAAAACCTTCAGCTGTAGTCGGAAAAGTTTTTTAATTCGAGCTTCATCCTTGTGGTCTTTGTACACTGAGGACTGGCAGACTCCTCCTGCCACCAGAGCATCACCTTTGCCAGCCACTTCCCTGGCCAGATCACAAGCGGCAACATTTGCCTCTTCCCACTGAAGTAAAAAACGACAAGTCAAGACGGTAAGCTGGGCATTCTGAATGTGAAATACAATAGCTAACAAAAGGACAAAGTCACTCATTTGTACTTCAATGTGAGAAGCCAGCAGAGCCTCTAGGTACAACCCATAACATAGGCATGGCATTATATTGCCATTTAATGCACTCACCACACTGAATCTTGATAAGTGCTTATTTGTTTGCCTTCATGTTTGAGCATGGCCCTCTTCAGAATAGGGTCTACACCTTTCCTTTTTAATGTTTTTAAATTTTTTAAAATTTTGCTTTTTTGAGACAGGGTCTCACCATAAATTTAGACTGGCGTAGAACTCGCTGCAATCCTCCTACCTCAGCCTTCCACATGCTGGGACTACAGGCATGCAATACCACGCCCCGTGGATCTACGCCTTTGTACTAAGCATGGAGCATGGCCCACAACCATACTAATCCCATTAAACAAACAAATGAACATCTACATTTACAACAACTAACACTTGGCACTTGCTAGACATTTTACACACTTCTGCACCCTTTGTCTTGTCCATGCTTTTCCACAGGTCTATGAACATAAGGCTGGTGTCATTTCATGCTGCAGTGAGTGCAATGTTTAATGCAGGGAACTGTCCTACGCAGTCTCCCAGGCAACAAGGAGCAAAGCTGGGTATCAAACCTAATTCTCTCATTACTAGGCCAGAGCTGTGTTCTTCAGTCTCTGGACAGGGAGAGAAGAAACAGAATGCTGTGAAATGAAAGGAAGAAAGAAGCATCCACAGTGTTCTTTCTCCAGAAGGACAGCCCAGGTCAGCCCTCCAATGGCCATTTCTGTCAGTCCATGTTCTCTTCCACCCAAAGAGCAGGAAGAGCTCCTTTCCACCATGCTGAGTTAGCAGGCACTGCAGAGGATTCTGTCTATAATGCAGGAGCACGGTTGCCCCTTCTCACTAGCACAGGTGCAACTCACCTTGCTTTCCATGCAGTCCTCACTGGCAGAAAAGGTGAATGTCTGCATGACATTTGACCCCGCCCTCAAGAATTCCATGTGAAGCTGACGAACTACAAAACAGTTAGGTTTTTAAAATAATAATAATAATAATAATGATGATATGATGATGATGATGATGACAGGAGCTACCACTTTGACCTACCTCAGCAGCAACCTCAGTTCCATCTCTTTCAGTCAGTTGTGAAATCCAAGGGACTCAGGACAGGTGTGCTGTCTAGAGATGCCCTGCCGTCCTCCTGAGGCTAAGCCCATCACCCATCTCTCTGTCTGGAGAGGCTTATCACACACCTGAAGTGCTTGTGGAAGGCACCAGTGTGGCACCCACAGTGAGCAAGGGGCAGGGATGGCTGAGGTAGGAGGATCACAAGTTTTAGCCTAGCCTGAGCAATTCAGTGACCTCACAAGACCTGGTCTCAAAAAGGAGTTGGAGGACTGGGGTTGCTCAATGCAAAGTTCAGTCCCCAGTTCTAGCAGTCTGAACATAGCCTTGAGCCTCTCAAAAAGTCAGCCCCATCTTTCTCTTCACCTTCACCTCCACTCTACATCCTTATCCTTGCTATCTCAGCACTTTCTTCCAAAATTAAGAACAAATTCTTCTTGGGTCAAATGAAAATTTCCTGCAAAGCAGCACACAGACCTTAGTCCTGCCCCTCATTAGAACCCTGGCAGTCTGCAGAAGCAGTGGGAGGGGCACCTGTGCCTAAGGTACCCTAGGCATCCTGGGGGCTCACTCATGGGCCCACACCTGCATCACATGACACATGAAGTCCTTGGAGAGGCTCAAGGACTCATGAAAGACCATGTAGCTGATCAGGGAGAATTAAGACAAGACCCTAGGTATGCCTAGTATATACATGTATGAGTAAAATCAGTACCACTCAAGGCTACATTCGTAGCTTATATTTTGTTTTTCCATATTCTTGGTTGTATTACCCCACCACCACCATTTTTTTTTTTTTTTTTTTTTTTTTTTTTTGCACTGGGGATGGAATTCACAACCCCGCACTTACCAGGCAAGCGCTTGAACCACTGAGCTAAATCCCTGGCCCTATTTTCCTCTTTTAAAAGCACAAACATACAGAAAGAAGATAGAGTTAAGGTTCCAATTTGATGTTATCAATCAGTCCTGTAAGTTTCTTCTTTCTTTGCTCACCCAGCCCCCTGGCCAGAAGCATGATTACTCCTCTGCCTGCTTACCCTAAACCTGGCTGGGAGTGATGTTTAAGGCTGATGACTGCCATTTATCACTTTCACTGTAGAGGCCACTGTAGTGCGCACATCAGTAGGCAAGAGGAGCAAGAGCAATGACACTTTTCACTATTTTAAGGAAACTCCTGCATATTGTGAGTACTAACATGTATATTTTAGCATTGTTCATAAGAAGATGCCAGTAGGAGAAGAGATGGGGGAGAAGGAGGGGAGGGGAGAGGAGGGGAGGGAAGGGAGAGAAGGGAAAGGGCAAGGAGAAGGAGGAGAGGGAGAATGGAGTCATTTCTTTTACATGCTTTAGCTCACATCTTGCCATTGCCTCCACAACTTGGCAGTTTTGCCAGTGAAACTTTCCTTAGAAATGCTCACTATTACTTGTTGATTTTCTCTGACTTGCATTTATGCAAAATATCATTCAGTTAAACACTCTGGGGTAATGCAACACTGACCTGCATCTGGATGCTCTACCACAGCTTCCGGAGTCCAGAGCCCTGCCTTCACATAGCCCCGCTTCTCCAGAGTTAGGAGGAAGCTGCCATCCCCAATCACCACCTCGCCATTGTCCAGATGCTCCAGAATACCCTGAAGAGGAGAGAAAGGAAAATCACCTGATCTCTTCCCACAAACTGCTTTTTTTCTTTTTTAATGCAATTTCTAATTATAGAAGAGGTGGCACTGTGTTGTTGGAGCTGCAGTTCTGTTAAAACTGGCTCTAATAGTATTTCAGAGAGAGTAAGCAATCTTGGCCAATCCAGGGATCTTTTTTGTGCAATCAATCAAATGGTCTATTTGTTTCACAATTACTCTGCCTCAAATTATAGTGAAAGTGCTGATGTCCTGGTAATTATTTTGTTTTTTCAACATGTTCATGGGCACACTGTTAGTTGCCTAACTTATATGCATTCTCCCTTTTTTCTGCTAGTGTGTTCATGTGGGAAGATGTCATATAGCTTAAAAACATTTCCCAGGTTCCCTGCTACTGGGATGGCCTTGGACACAGCAGAAGCTAGGAGACAGGTGAAAGGTGGCTGAGGACCTGGGTGAAGGCACTGTTCTCCTGAACTGGTGCCCACTCCCTCCCTTCTTGTCTCTTTTTTCCTTCCTAATCAGAAGTCAGTATAACCCTTGGAGTACAGAAAGTATGCTGCAGCCTTACCACTGGAAATCACATGCTAATATTATAGGCAGCCAAGTGAGCCAGTAATTAATAGACACTCAGAGAACGATGGGCCCTGGAGATGAAGAGCAATATAAGATTACACTGTGATTTGTACTGCTAGCCCAGTAGACCCAGAGAGTATAGGAGGGTGACCAGAACATCCAGACCCTCCTTCACTTCCCTCTCCAGGAATCTCTGTCCTTTTTATATTAGAAGTTATAGGTAAGCTAAAGTTAATAATTTCCGCCTACATGACTCGCTTCCCTATTGGATCAATGTTAGCAAAGCTCTATCGCTGGACTCCTATGCACTGATTGTTCTTGGACCCATGTTGTACCCATGTGTGACGTTGCTGTATAAATTGCCCCCAGCAAAGGGCCTCAGCAACTACCCTCTCAGGACCCCTCCTGCAAATCCAGGAGCTCATTGTTTATAGCAAGGCTCTCCAGACTTCCTCCTCCTCTTCATGATTCCATTCCTCCTCTCATTGAGAGGCCATGAGCTCAGTACAACTGACATCTCACAGTTGGGAGTTGCTTTCCCATGGCACAGGGCTGGTGGAGCCACCTGCCAACAGGAACCTGGTTTCTCAAAGACTTTCCCAAGTCCCCTCGGGTGGCTCACCTCTGGATCTCTAGCAGGGAGGGAAACATAACTCCACATTTGTGTTAACTAAGTTAAGGATCAAATTTAACACTGCTCATCAAACAGTTCCAGATGAGGCAAACATTATTCTGGGCTATAGGTCAGCCTGTCACCTCCATGTCCAATCTGTCACAGGGTTGCATCAGTGTCTCTCTTATCCATTTCTCATATTCACTCAGCACTGGGTCATTGGGATGGTCTCGCCCCCATCTGCCTGTCCTGTAGCATCTAGTTACCTGGCTCTTTCCTCACTTTCACTGTAGGAGAGGAGGGAATGGGAACACAGCTTCTCTGTCTAGACTCCTATGCTGTCTTCTGGCACCTCACAAGGAGGAGCCCCTTATTAAAATATACCAGCAGCTTAGCAGAGAAACAAGACTGTTCTGAAAATGTCAGATGTGTCACATATTCTACAATTTTGGCCCTGAAGAAAAAAAGTCACACCTGAACAGAGGCGTTTTAAGAAAAGTGAAGTACATATTATGACCTCATGGCATTAAATAACGGTGAGACATTTTCATTTGCCATATGGATGTCTGTGTTTGTCAAACACTTCAAACTTGCCACTTCAAGCTGATAGTAAACAGATGAAGTGTTTAGGATTTGTATTCAAAGCATCTTCTAGTCCCTCCTTCCCTGCTGTGCTAACCACCGCAGTTAATTAGTACACCTGTATGAGCTAAAGACATTTTAGGATGACAAGGACAGGAGCACAAAGGAAAAAGAACACTATAGGATTCTGCAGTGTTGACATTTATTTGCATCCTTTCACGCATGTCGGCAGTGAGCCTGCCTTGGGCTGGGTACATTTGTGCCTCCTTTCTGCAGACATCAACACCTCAGTGCTCTGGATTGGAAACTGGCTTCAGGGCCAACTATTCACGTTCAAGTGAGGACAACTTCACCTTGCAGCAGGAGGTGGACTGAAGACTCACTCTGTCTAAAATATCTGCCAACTGCTTGGTGCTTGTGGATTAAAAGTCTGTTTGGAGTTTTCTGTGGTGCTTAAATGAATTCTTAAAGTAAACCTGTTAGCTGAGAGAGGGAGATTACCTCCTGCTGACACCTTAACCCCAGGCGCACATTACCTAACATGCCAGAATTGCAGTGACACAAGAGCAGACAACCCCAAGGACTTGCACAGGGCCTGACATTTAGAAACATTTTTTAAAAAATGAATTGTAAAAGTGGATACAGAATCCAAGAAAACTGAGAGAAGTTAGCACAAGGTTCTTTGCTTTTTTATCTTTTCATTAACCTCCTTTCCTTCACTTTCACAGTCGGAACATATCTGGAAACAACTTTTTGAAATCCGCGTGTCGCACCATGTCACCTGTACCACAGTGGTGTCCTCCCTTGCCATGTAACACTACAGCTTTCATATTCTTCCATCACGAATCTCTTTCCACACGTGCCAGAGCACCTTCCTTATCTCATGCTTTTCTGAGCGGCTGCTGGATAACTTCAGCCACAGGCCTTAATTTATGTAGCATTCCCTACTGAAGGGTAGCTTTTTTTTTTTTAGATGACAAATTCTTTCATCACATTTAGAATTAAAACATCCCTTTAAATATTCGCGTGTTACGGCACAAGGATAGAAAAACACAGGACTTTGTACAAGCTTAATTACTCCAATTTCTGAAGTGCCAAAAAATGAAATGGAAAATAATGGCCTACCCCAAAGCTGTCATGTATGGTAATTCACTTCTCCAACATGTACAGATTAAAGTATTAAATGTACTACTTGGACTTCTGATTCTTGGTTAAAAACTGCATGACTGGTATAGTCTAGTTAAGAAGTTGCTAGGCTTCTGGATGCTCCTCTACAGTTTCCTTGAAAACAGTGCAACTTTAACAGTCTTACAGAGCACAGATTACTTTTTAACGAGTCATTATATAAACGACCCTCGCTAGAGGCAATAAACACATTCCATAGTTAACCATATTTACCAATTAAGGAATAAAAATTAAAATTTTGAATGTTTTATTGCATATTAATAAAACAAAGCTTTGAATATACCACAATGTAAAACATGTAAAAACATTAAATTCCTACCTATAACCAGATTCAGTGTGAAGGGATGGCTTCTCCTAACATTTTAGTGTTAACGAATAAACGGTGCTCATTCCCAGCCTGTGCACCCTTGCCTGTTCAGCAAGTGGCTCTCTGGGGTCCCCGGGCCATTGCTCTTCGCTCTAGAGTTGGATCCACTGTGGAAAGGTTTGGTCGTCCCTTCCCTGCACCCCGCACACCAACCCTGCAGAAATAAAACTGGAAGGGCCCCAGAAAGGAGACTCAGCCAGCTCTTGGGGAAACTGAGGCTCAGAGAGCTCACCAGGCCTCTCTAAGGCGTCGGGGCTGCGCTTGGGACCCAGACGGGATCTGAACCCCGGCCTGCCTGGAGCCCAGTGGCCAGAGGGCCTGGCTGGGAGACTGGGGAGGAGGACGAGGCACTCACCCTCCTGGCCGTGGGTCCTCCGCCGGGCGCCATCGCTAGCTCTGCGGGCTCTGGGACCGGATGCGCGCCCAAATCCCGCCCTGCCCAGGGTGGTTCCGCCAGCCGCCGGCCCCCTGCTTACTCTGGTTACCCGGGCCGCAAAGGCCACTCGGTCAGCCCCACCGCCCCGGCAGCCCGGCTCCTCCAGCCCGCCTCGCCATGCTCCGCGCGGCGGCGCGCCCGCTGTGGGGCCTCGCGCTGCCCCGGGATCCCGTCCTGTCCCCGGTTCGCCCCCTGTCCTGGGGTCCCGCTCAGACTCGGGGCTCAGCCCGTGCCGGGTGAGTGGGGTGCCCACGAGCCGCAGGGTGGGCTCGGCCGGGGCTCCGGCGCGGAGCCAGTGTAGGGAGGGTCGCGCGCAAGGTGGCCTCGCCCCACCCAGTCCCCTCGCTCGGCCTCCGTGTTCCTCGCCTCACGAGGCCCGCGAGGGCTTTGCTTCCTAGCATCTAGGGGCTCGGAGACGGTCCGTGGCTGCGCCTGGTGCATCTGCCCTGAGCTTTCTTTCTTTCCTTTCTTTTTGTACCAGGGATTGTGCTCATGCCCTGAGCTGCTAGAGACTGAAGGAAAGTGTATGGGAAGGTGTTATGCGCTCAGGTTTGGGCATGCTCCGCAGCCTACCGGTAAAATCAATTTCTAAAGGCGAAATTGACTGGAAAGCCCCAAAAGTAACAGATTCACTGAAAGATGGCAGGACTCTCATTCCCCACCCACTAGTGTCTCTGCCTGCCCCCTGGTTCCTACAGTGGCAACCGCTTTGTGCCTGTCAAATCACATAGGAGACAGTGACGTTTTCGGCTTGAACTGGTCTGTATTTAAATAGCGCAGTGCTCTGCAGATTCTGCACGGCTTCTGTTCACTAGTGCAGCTGACTCACTATTTAGTATTTAGTCATACCAGGGACTAAACACAGGGCTTTCACAATGAGCTACATCTTCAGCCCCTTTAATTTTTTTTTTCAATTACTTTTTAAATTGTGAAACAGCGTGTCACCAAGTCACAAGGTTGCCCAGGCTGGACTTGCCATCTTCTTCCTCAGCCACCACAGTGCTGGGGTTACAGGTGTATACTGCCGTTGCGGGCTCCCGCTTTTTATCTTACAATTTAAAACCTAAAATTTTGGAAATCAGATGACCCAGTTTTTGACATCCATCCATCCTTCTTCTTAAATATTTAACGTGGTGACATTCAAGGTCGGCCTTGGTGCTAGGAACAGAAGAGCTGCCAAGGCTGTGTCAGTTACCTGGGACTTGATCTTATACTCCTGGGCTTCGGTTTGCTTATCAACAGAACAGAGATAAATATTTGCTCTGCCAGACTCACAGGATCATTGCAAATTTTAAATAAGAGATTACCTATGAGGGTCCTTTGCAGAGTATAAAACAACATCAGAATACTTATAATGGTACTTTACTTCAAGCAAAAGGACAGAGAAATTTAACTCATGTGAGCTGATTTGTTTAAAAGTGACTAGATGTTACATTCAGGATTGCCCAAAAATATATTTTACTCATTTAGCAATATGTAGTTTTATATTCAACAGATCAAACTTTAAATGATTTTATTTCTACTGTATGTTCTTTATAGACCAACACCCAAACTGTCAAGAAGATGTTTGAGTTTTGGAAGGCACTCAGTCAAACAAAGTGACAATATAAAAAGGTTTACATTTCTGAGTAAGGAGAAAGGGGGAGAGGGTGTCAGGTAGGAAACAAGGAAGATGGAGAGGATCAAAATACATTACACACATTGAAACCCCAAAACATGGCACTGGAGAGGTGAGTGGGCAAAGCAAACAAAGGTCAAGGTGAGCAAACTGTGAATGTATGAATCTGCCAAAATGAAACCCATTCATCTGTAAATTCGATAGGCACTAGTAGAAAGATGAAAAAAGCAAGACCCATGTCTAAGATAGGAAGGACACAGGTGACATGGGTTTTCTTTTTTTTCTCACTGCTCTGACTTTACTGGATTCTGACTGTATTTTTATCAAGCTTTAAAAGTTACCTAGTCTGGCATGCATCATATATGGTTGGAAGAAGAAATATGATACCTTTGATGATGTTTTATCTTGTCTTGCAAACTATGTTTTGCAGAGCAGGAGATGGTGAGACCCTTCATCTACATTTTCCTAAAACAGTTATTCAATTACAGTGGGTGCTCAAATCTAGATTTCCTGGTCTTAAATTCTTTATTCTTTTTGTTTTACCTGACCATTGTCCTGAAATCATATTTTTTTCTTTGAACCCACAAAAACACATCTTTAAAATTATTGTCATTTCTATAATTGTTTCAAGTACAGTACAAGATCTCCCCAGTCCATATAAAAATGGATTTTTATGCAAAGTTGTTATGCATACATTATATTTTTTTCTTAAGCAGCATACAAAGATGGTAAAAGTCATTTAGAAACAGACTGAGAGTTAATGGAACATATTATAGCACAAGAAAATTAAGAAGTGTTCAATAATCATGAGGTTATTTTAAAAGCACCCATGGATCAACGTAAACTTTTGTTGACCAACTCTGGGACAATTTGGCATTAAATACTAAACAGTAATTGGTTACAATCCCCACTGAATACGGTAAATAGACACAAATTGATACTGATACAGGAAACAAGCAAGACCTGAAGGAAGCAGTGTTCCTGGTACAGTGACAATGTAAATGCAATGGGGCATGACTGACATAAGACACAATCAACAGGTACTAAAATCACTTAGGAAGTGTTTGATAAGGAACGGGACATTTTCCATGGTTTTAAGGGAACACCATATATTTGTACTTATGACAACAAAAGAGAATGTAGTAACTTTACCAAATAAACCAGACAGCCACCACCCTAAGCAAGTCACCAGACTTTTATAAGCCACACCAATGCTGGGGCACACAGCATCCATCACACGCTTCCTAATCACATACACAGGAGACCTAATATCACTTAGTGATGTTCTCCTCACAAATGTGTGACCTAAATGCCAAACTCAGAAGGAGGTGAACTGTTAAAAAATGTCAAGCTGAGGAAACACAAAGGGGGTCCTAAATTCAAGAGAACTAAAGAGAGGGCTGCAGATTTGATTATTAACTGGAAAAAGAAATATAAATGCATTATCGGGATAATATACTAAGTTTTAATATGATTATAAACAAGATTGTATTAATGTTAAATAGCCTCATTTTGATAACTGTATTATAGTTATGTAAAAGAATGTGGTTATATATGTGTATGAGTGTAAGAAACAAGTACAGGAATACTTAGAAGTATCTGCAATTTGCTCTAAAAACTGTACACATATAATACACATATAAATATTTAGATATACACATGATATAATATATGGGAATCATTGGGAGTACATCACAGATAAATTTCTTTTCTGAGTATTCTGAGAGTTTTTTCTACAGTTTTTGCAACTTTTCTGTAAGCTTGAAATTATATCTAAATAGAAAATCAGTTCCTGAATCAGTTAAACCAACAATGAAGAGAAATCTCTAGCCTAGGCAAATTTTGAAGGCAGGTTAGATGGCTATTAAGGCTTTTCAGCAATGTTATCAATATATTACATCCTTCCAAATAAAGGATAATAAAATAGTTGGTATAATTAGTATCATTATATTAATTTTAAGGAAAGTGTTTATCTGGTTTTCTTCTTAGATTAAAACATACCTTAGTTGAGTACAAGGCATGTACTTATAATCCCAGCTACTTAGGAGCTGAGAGAGGAAAAATCTCAAGTGTGGGGCCAACCTGAGCAATTTAAGAGGATCCTGCCTCCAAATAAAAATCTTAAAAAGGATCTGTGGTATAGTTCAACTGCAGAGCAAGCACAAGGCCCTAAACTCAGCAAAACAAAACAAAGCAAAAAGCAATATATCCTAAAAATCACAACTTTTAGACTGTGTCACCAAAAATAATGAGGGAAATTTCCTCAGAATTTTAATAATTTATACTGTGAATCTCTAAATTAGAAATTAAGTAAGAAAAGAGTTGGTGGTTAATTGGTAAGCACTGTATAATAAGGAACATACTCTTTACTCATGTATTCTGTTGTACTTACTCATTGCCAAGTATCTTAGGTGCTCGATTACTGCATTGAACCCATAGACCAAAGGACAGCTAAGGGGGATCCTGAGTGCCGGCTAGACGGACCTTTCTGCTACACCCTGGTCTCAGTGGCCCTCCAGCCCCTGACTGCCACATAGCCGTTCTTCCTTTCTTCTTTCCTCACTTTGCCCACTCAATTTGCCCTCAGTCGACACTCAAATCAGCAGCCTCCTTCTCACTCATGCTCATAGGATCCTGTGTCCCTCTCACCACCGACACTTCCACAGCTGTGCTATTTGCTCCTCTCTCTGCCTGGCTGTGGTGTACATTCCAGGGAGTAGCAGCAGTGTCTGTTTTGGCTGGCCCTTGGTGCCCTGTTTGTGGCAGGAGCTTGGGAAGTCCTGGATGAGTGGATAGGAAGAGTGAAGAAAGAATGAGTAGGTGAAGGAGTGAGTGACTTGGATGCTTGGTGGGAGGCAGCAATTAATCTCCTACATCATGAGCACTGTCTTTAATAGAACTGTATTTTGGGAAGAGACTCATGTAGGAAAATTACAATTAATAGAGGGTTGAGGTTCAACCATGATAATTATTAGACATATTCATGTTTTTAAATAAACAAAATTATTCTCTAGATTCTTTGCAGGTGAAGATGCTATCTGTGAACCTCTTTAGCTATGTTTGTTCTGGCAGTGCCCCAGGGTCCTGCCATAGGACTGAGCCAGCTCAGATGTCCCCTGTCTTCCCCACCAGGGGTCTGGGTTTGGATGCCCAGGATATTAAAGAGCACCATGCAAATCAGAGTCACTGGGTGTTAGGAACAAGAGAACTGGGCTAGGGGAAACACATTGATCAGCCAAGTAAAGTTACCATGTCCTAAAAACATTGTTTTCCAGAGCAGAAAGCCCGTCTCTGCCTGCAGAAATGACATGGAAAGACAATGCGGAGACTGTGATCATAGGAGGTGGCTGCGTGGGTGTGAGCCTGGCCTATCACCTGGCCAAAGCAGGCATGAGGGATGTGGTCTTGCTGGAGAAGTCAGAGCTCACGGCCGGGTCCACCTGGCACGCAGTAAGCAGGGAACCCACGCCTTCCTGAGCCCAAACCATGCCCTCCCTCCTAAGGGCAGCCCTGACCACCCTGGGCTCTCAGGGTGCCATGCCAGTGGGGAAGCACCAGTGCCTGCAGCTTAGCGGGGTACCCTGGGGCAGCACTCAGTTCTTACTGATTTCACGGTTTCATCTGGCATACGTGGCTTCTGGGCTGCCACTCTCTATCCGTGTGACTTCCAGCAAGTGACTTCAGTTTCTGTTTTCTGATTGGAAGACAGCAATGCTGCTCTTAGCGCACCTTAGGCACACAGCTGGGCGGGTTTGGCTGTTGGTTACACAGTCCTGCCTGTAATGTGCCTCATCCTTTCCTTCCAGCAGCCCCCAGTGCTTTCCTCTCTCTTCTGGTCTCCCTTCTGCTTTCCTAGTCTCCCTTTCTTTGGCCCCCTAGATGCCTTATAGGAGAGGAAAGAGGAACTATTTGCCTTTCTGAGTCTGGCTCATTTCACCTAACTTTATTATGATCTCCCATTTCTTTCTTTGCTGTAAACTACATGGCTTCATTGCTGTAAACTTGGCTTTCTTTGCTGTAAACTACATGGCTTCTTACGGCCACATACTTACCACATCTTTACGCATCATCTGCTGATGTAGGCTATGAAGTGAAATGTCAGTACAGTCTACAGGATGGGGTTCTGAGGAAGTGAGCATGTGTAAAGGTACTACACTGAAGGGGCACTGGCTAGGAGAGCCTGCCTAGAGGGCCCAGGCCTTGCTCTGTCCTCCTGTTGGCATTTGGTGGTCCTTGTACCTCTTTTACTTAAGGTCTTAATTTTGTGTCATGAGACAAGGCCCTGGCCTCATGAAGACTCAAATACGCAGACAGTGCCTCAGAGCTGCAGCTTTCATGTTGGGTAAAACCCCAGGCTAAAGCAATTTTGCATACGTCACAATCTACAGGACTTTTCTAGTGCAATGAGACAAATTGGAAGCTCCCAGGTAAAGACCCAGAGTCGTCCTTGCTTTTTTTTTTTAATCATTCAGTTATTTCTGAAGTCTGCAAAGGATGGGGGAAGAGATTTACAATGCTGGTGCAATTTGCTTTTGGAGGAAGAGCTGGGTAGTGCCGGCCTTACTCGTCACCCTGTCTGAATGGCTGTCCCCCTGAGAACAGAAAGCTAGAGAAGACTTTCGAGGGCATTTTGGTATCCAGAAACCTGCCCAACTGCCTGGCCAAGTCTTTCCATACCTGACTGTCCTGGACTTCCCAGATGGTCAGAGGCTCCAGGAACTCGCACCAGCCTGGCTCTTCTCAGCTGGCCCTCATTTCTCCATCTGGATGGGGCCTGCTGCCCACTCTGTCCAGCACGATTGCAGCAAGTGGCTCTCTGAAGATTCTCCCCTGGATCACTTCCTCCTGAAGGCAGGGAGGGTCAGAGAAGCCACCATGTCTCGCCTTTCTCCAGGCTTCAGGCTATCTTGTGGAAACAAGGTGACCTTCTCGGCCCTCCTGTACCTCTTCCTCAGTGCCTCCAGTTACCCACGTGATAAAGATCTGTGAGGAGCCTGAGGTCTAGGAGGTGAGGCTGAAACCCAGCCCCTGGCTGCTGCACCTCTTACTTATATGACTGAGATTGTGCCATGTCACACACCCCAAGCTTTATACTCTGGGAGTCCACACTGATTCTGATGAGTTCTCAGGGGTCAGTTAGTGCATCTGTTTCTTGCTGGCATTAAGTTAGTACTTATTTTGGATAAACTAGTAACATTTTGAGAAAAAAAGTTTTTCTTCAGAATTTCTTTTTCTCTCTACTTTTAAGGCAGGCTTAACAACTTACTTTCATCCTGGAATAAACTTGAAGAAAATACACTATTACAGCATCAAACTTTACGAGAAACTGGAGGAGGAAACCGGGCAGGTAAATGCATTGCTCTTGAACTCACCTGGAAGACTGGTCCATCAGAATCTGCATGGGTTCTGAAGGGTTTGAGGTATTATGCGTAGGGCTACGCACAGTGATATCACTAATGTTGCAGAGAAACAGCGCAGGGGTAAAGGTAAGGACCTCTGTCATTTGTTTTTAAATTAATTTAATGATGTGTATTATCTATACATTAACCATTTTTATTTTTAAATGAAGCAAGAATAAAAAATAGCTTCCAGGGCCAGGGAGTTACCTCAGCGGCACAGCGGCACCTGTAGCATGCCAGCACCTGCCTGGCAAGTATGAGCTCATGAGTTTGAGTCCTGGTACCAAAAATAAATAAACAAATAAACAATAAAAAAATAGCTTCCAAAACTATCTTTAGCCAGTGATTAAATCTAGAAAATTTTAAAAGCCCAGAGCCTTCTTGCCACTGGACAGCAGGGTCTGACGATGGCATGTGCCAACTCATTACAGGCTTTGAGAGGTGCTGCGGAAAACCCTCACTCTTAACTTTATCACTTGTGTCCTCAAAACACAAGGGCGACAGAGAGTTCCATAGGCTAAGATTAAAGGCTGCTTCTCACGCTGTCTTTCCTTCCTTCCACCAGCTACCCCTACCCCTGCAGGATGAGGCCCAGGGCCTGGAGTGGCTTCAGCAGTCCAGTCTCCACCACTGACCTTGCCCACTGCTCCAGTGTCCTGCCATCTTCCTGATGTGTGCTGCGGCTAATCATAAATCTGCCCTGTGCTGGCTCTCCAAGTCCGTTATTTGTGCTTTTTGCGTATATTTATTTACATGTTTTTCTGTTGCTTCTACCTAAAGCAGCATTCCAGCGCCACATCTCCTCATCCTAGGAGCATTCCTGCACACTACACATAATAATGCCAGTCTCTCTCTATTGTAATTATTTCCCCAGTGGATCATGACAGCCTGAAGGCAAGGACAACTTCTTTTATCCCTGTAACCCAGGGTCTTGCGGAGGCTTGGCCAACTGTAAGACTGCAATCAATGTCAAATGGATGCTTGGCTGTTTAATTCACCTCATCTCTAGCATCATCATTTCAGCCTGTACATTAAGTTCACCCTGGATTATTGCAGTGCATTTTGCTTTCTGTCTTCAACTGTAGGTGGTCAAGCTCATCAAGGAGGGGTCTTTGTCTTTCCCATTCACCCCTACATCTCTGGGGCTCAGGCTGGTGCTGGATACAGGGGAGGCACTGGGTGAATAGCTGCTGCTGAATGTCTTTGCAGAAGATGCAGATATTTTATGCAGTTAACTCTTTCTCTGCAGAGCATCACTGTCCTCATATACCTGCATTTTTGAGTTTGTGCTGGAGATCTGTATTTAAGTGCCAAGTAACATGATACATCTTCTTTTCTTGGAATTATTGTCACAGATGGTAGGATTCCATCAGCCAGGAAGTATCAGAATTGCTACAACTCCTATAAGGGTAGATGAATTTAAATACCAAATGACACGCACCGGCTGGCATGCTACAGAACAGTATATTATTGGACCTGAAAAAATCCAAGAGATGTTTCCTTTACTTAACATGGATAAGGTATTTGAGGAGCATTTTTACCAATTGTTGAGTTGAATTTAAATTTTTTAAATGTTAAGAAGTTAATTTAAAACAGAAATAATTTTGGGTATTCATTTCAAATGGCAAAGTTAGATGATTAATACCAAATTTTTGGCAAATTACCATGTGGGTAATTTTACCAAATTACCATAACAGGTGGGTTATTATGTATACTAAATGAAATATGAAAAAGGTAATTAAAACTATCATCAGCTCTTCACTTATGACAACTGAGGAAATCTTTTCCATACCTTTATACTAATGTGTCCCTCAGATGAAAGGCTCTCCATTCATACAGCTGTTTGAGAACTGCAGGGAATTGATAACCTGAATAAGTTCCATCAAGTTATTTTTTTGAAAAGCAACTTAAAATGCTACATATGTTCCACAAATATCACCATGCTCATAGCTGTACTTCCCTAACAGTTTCTCCCAGGCCTGGATCTAGATTTATCCCAAATTTTTCTGAAAAAAAATCACTTGACAGAGAATGTAGTGATTTTGCCTTGCTCAGTGACCATTCCTTTTGAATAATGGCAAAACTAACACTGTGTCACACACTTATCTACCAAGGACCATGTTGAGACATTTGTATGCATAATTTATTTAATCTTCATACTATTATAAAGTATACATTATACTACATAGGATACTGAATCTTAGTTTACACAGTGGGCTAAGCCGTTCAGTTAGGAAGAGCTGGAGAAAGGTCTGAGCCCAGCCGTCTGCCTCCACTGCACGTGCACCATGGGGCTGTTCACCAAATCCAACACTGTGTCACCCAGTGGTAACTACTGCAGCATTTCTGGTCTCTGAGATTCTCTGATATTGCTGTTGCTTCTGGGCATGTCACCTTCATGGGTCTTTCCAGAGCCCCTTGTCTGTAGTATCTATAGTGCCAGCAGTGAGATGGCAGGTTGGTATTAAACACTGCATTATCTGCAGTGAAATTTTGACTCCAGTCCTTGTCAAGAGGTGCTTCACTCTGATTATATGTCAGTCCTACAATACTTTGCTGGTGTTCTCACCATGAGGATTTTTCTCAAGAGCACTAATCAATGGAAATCCATGTGAGGATGTTCTCTGGATCCAGGCAGAATGCCAAATCAAACAGATAGGAAATTGCTATGACAAGGATGCAACCATTTACAAAACACTAAATATGACATTCAGAAGTCTTTGGTAATGTAAATTTCATTAAATCTAAAACTCCCTTGCATTAAAAGGATTACATTTGTTGTGACAAACTTCCCACAAACAAAAGTTCAGGCTCACATGACTTCACTGGTTAATTCTACCAGACACTGAAATTTACATTTGTGAAGGGTTCAAAAGCAGAAAAGAATACTTTCCAACTCATTTTATAAAGCCTGCATTACCCTAATACAAAAACCAAAGATATCACAAGAAAAAAAACATAGGTGAAAACTTCTCAGCCCAATACTGGCAATCTGACTTCTGCAATTCATCAAAAGGGTTGTACAGCATGACTGTGTGGAACATATCCCAGGAATGCAGGGTTGGTTTAATACCTGAAAGTCGGTCAACATTTATAGGGTATAGGAAAAACCACACAGTAATTGAAATAGCTGCATAAATAATATCTGACAAGAGCTCTTTGTTCATATTTGGTGCTAAATAGATTTTTTTAGTAGGTGAGACCTAGAGTTATAATATTTCACTGTGTTCATTCTGTCGATTTAATTTCCTCTTAGTTCCAGTCTTCTGTCTTCCCACAGTATCTAGCCTGAAGCCCTGACATACAACTGGCATGCAAAAATTAGTTGTGGAACTTTGAATTAAGTTTAGGTAAATTTTTCTGGCACTAGCCTTAACATGTGAATTTGTTAACAATGTTAAATAATTAAATATAAATTATAACTGTTTTGGTAGTTAGGATTAGATTTAGCTTTGCATGTCAGAAACCAAAATAATAACACTTAAGTGAGATTTAAGGTTTTTTCCCTGTTTTGTTTATGCAGTCCAAGTCTGAAATGGTGACTCTTTTTTGTAAAGGCTTTAGGGCCCCAGTCACCTTCCAGACCATGGCTCTGTCACCCCTGGCATGTGAGCCTTATCACACAATAATGATTTCAAGATGGCAGTGCCAGTGCCAGCCCTCTTGTCTGCACTGCAGACATCAGAGCGAAGTGAGGAACAAGGAAGAAAGGCTGGCACTGGTTGCCTTTAGAAATGGTTTGTGGCAGCTGACACATGGTATTTTATTTGGATTTCTGTTGACCAGAACTTAGTCGTAGTTTCAGGTACCAGCTGGAACTAGTAGCTCCCAGGCAGGTTGGAAACTGTACACTTTGTTCTTAGTGGCCAACCACCCCAGTAAATGCTGGAGCTTCACTGCTACCGCGGAAGGGGTTTGGGAAAAAGCCTCAAGCCTCCTACTTAGCCATCTGCTTAACACTCATGCAAATCCTAAGTGGGACTTAGGAGAACAAAGATGTGCGGAGTGACCAAGCTTTTCCAGGTGTGCTTTAAAAGTCCAGTTTCATCAAACATAGGCTGGCAGGATACAGTTGTAATAAGTACAGTTGTAATAAGTTGTAATAAGTGTCTATTTGTGTGAATATTGACTCTCCTATGATCGATTTAGATTTTAGCTGGACTGTATAACCCTGGAGATGGTCACATTGATCCTTATTCTCTGACAATGGCCTTGGCTGCTGGGGCCAGGAAATACGGGGCCCTTTTAAAATATCCCGCCCCTGTGACTTCTCTGAAGCCCAGGTCGGATGGAACATGGGATGTTGAAACCCCACAAGGATGTCTGCGAGCAAACAGAGTTGTGAATGCTGCCGGTGAGTGTTATATCTTTTAAAATCTAGTGTTTTATTAAAGTAGCAAAGACATATTTAGTCATAAAGTCACATATCATTCTGTGAATATTGTCACGAAGCTCTGTGGTGCTGTCAGGTCTGTTTCTAAGCTCAGCCTTCCCTGTGTCGCTGTACCCTTGGCACAAGAGCACTCTGTCCTTCATTATCCTATTTTCTTTTATTCCAGATTCCATTTTGTCAAATCAGGCTTTTTCCCCTTTTCTTTGTTCACCATTTATGCTAATATCTACACTCTATTGTTCAAATTTCTGAGCATTGTTTTTGTTTTCAATTTGTTTGTAGGACAAATTTGACCACTTCTGTTCTCTCTCATTTATTTCTAATTACTTTTGACTCTAGCCCAAAACTTGTAACCCTTTTCCTTTCAGAATCTTACTAAATATGTTCTGTTAACCTTTTTTTCAGGCTGCCTGGCTGCAGTTCAGACAAACAGAGTGGTAGGTCCTGTTGGGCATCTTAGGTGATCTGACACCTGGTTCTTTCTCACTTGATCAGGGCCAGGTCCAAGCCTGGGTCCTAGGACTTGGCCAAAGGACAGCCAGGCCCATCAGAGCCAGGACAAGACTTGGTCCTTTGATTCTGGAGTAGACACACTTCCTAACAGGCCAGCTATGTTTGTGAAAGCCTCTCTAACCTCCACACAAACATAAAAGATCCTAGTGAAAATGGTTGTGCCCTCTAGGTTGTGCTTATAGTTTATATTTTCATGTTGCTCATAATGGTTTGTTAGAATCTAAAACAAGCATGGGGCAGGAACTGATTTTTCTTGAGCTGTTGTTTAAATTATAAAGTAAAAATGATCTTTATTATTTGTCAGATCAAATAGTATGATGAAGACTTGCCAGGAGCATGTATCCTTCTGATTTTTTCCCCTAAATCACTACTTATGATAGATTTTTTGGTTTTCTAAGGCAAGGTCTTGCTATGTTGTGCAGACTGGCTTTGAGTTCACTAGGTAGCCCCGGCTGGCCTTGAACTCACTGTGATCCTCTGGCCATCTTCCAGAGTGCTGGGATCACAGGTATGTGCCACCACATCCAAATAGATACTGGTGTTTTTTTTTTAACAAAATATTTCCAGTGGTCCTAGAAAAAAATCATGTGTTTAGCAAGATTTACTCTCAGATTTTTTAAAAAGCAGAAACAAATTATTAAAAATTTAGGGAGTGCAACCTCTAAAGCAATACCTAAAATAAAATTCTCTAATAATTTGAAGGATTACTCAAAATTATTATTAAACAGAGCTGGAGATACAGCTCAGTGGGATGCACCTGCCTGGCAAACATGAGGCCCCAAGTTCAATTCCTTGCACCAAAAAAATTAAACTAAATAAATATATAAATATATTATCAAACAAGCAAACAAAGTCCCCTCTCTTGGGCAGCCCTTTGATGGTCAGGCAGCCGCATGACTCAAATAAATGAGTCACTTAGTGCTAGTGCTGAGAAACAAACCTAGAGCCTCATACTGACACCAAGGCTACCCTGGTTCTGACTGCCAGCTTTTCTGGTCCATGCAACTGAGGGTCTTAAAACTCATTCAAGCTGGACTTTAAAAATAATAGATAAAATTTAATGTGTCATCTCTTCCAAAGTGTGTACATTTTCAAATTTTTAAATAAGCCAAACAGTCTCGTAGCTTTGGAATTCTAGGCATCATCGATTTGGAGAGATATAGCTGGTAAGTGGAGGAGCCAATTGTAATGACACAATTATAGATTACGATGGTAGTCTTTATAGATACGGCCATGAGAACACAAGCCTCCTGAATAATGCTGATATAAATTGTCCTGTCATATGTACTATGTTTATATATGTGACATTTTTAAATGATTTTTTTCCTAAGGGTTTTGGGCACGTGAGGTGGGTAAAATGATTGGCCTGGAACACCCTCTCATCCCAGTCCAGCATCAGTATGTGGTTACCTCCACCATCCCAGAAGTGCAAGCCCTGAAGCAAGAGCTCCCTGTGCTCCGGGACCTGGAAGGGTCCTATTATCTCCGCCAGGAGCGGGATGGGCTTCTGTTTGGGCCTTATGAGAGTCAGGAGAAGATGAAGGTCCAGGATGCGTGGGTCACCAATGGTGTCCCTCCAGGTGGGTCCTGCAGACCAGATACAAATAGCCCAGGGTGAGCCAGCTGCAGAGAGACGAGTGAGTCCTCTTGCACGAGCAGATGCCTGAATCCCTGGGTGCCTGTCCCTGGAGTGCCTGTCTTCCACCACCCTGGAGGATGCAGCAGAGCAGGCCAAGTGCGCAGGTGTGCTCGTCTCAGGGCTGGGGAAGACTCCAGGCTTGTCCCTCGCCCCTACCACCCTCTAGCTTCCTGCCTTGCCCTTTGCCTGCGTACAGCAGTTTCAGGATGCAGGTGGAGCAGCTCTGGCCTCCCACCGGTGACCCAGGGCAGGTGGCAGAGCCAGGACACCACTCTCTGGGAAGGAAGGGCAGAGGGCCCAGCAGAGCAGCAAGTCACACTGCCAATTGAGACCACCAGGCTTCAGGGACAGGGCAGGCCCTGTCTGCATGCTGCAGCCGGGGGCTGTGAACTCCCTCAAGTGCTGTGAGGGAGGTGGATCCTTTTTGTTTTTTTCTTATGTAATGTTTCCTCGGGGCCAGGTTAAAATTTGGGGTGCCTAGGTTCTAATCAATAAAGGGAGCTGAAATGTCATTGGGGTACTGAACTACGGCAGGTATTTGTGCGTGTACGTGTTACCAGACAGTGGCTCACTAACTTGCCAAGGCTGACTTTGAACTTTCAGCTCTCTTATCTGGGCCTCCCATTGCACCAGTATGTACACATGAAGTACCCCACTTGGCTTAGAATTAGGCTTCAATCAGCAATTTAGAGTAGAGAACAAACTTCTCACTCCAGCAGGCAGCAGGCCATTCCACAGAAACTGATCCTTCAGTGGCCTTCTCGGAAGTAGGACAGCTGGCCTCAGTGCTTTGGTGTTGCTGAGTGACTGTGCAAACAGGGCTTCCCTGTCCCTCACTACTCTTCGTGATGGCCCAGCACCTCCTCAAAAAACAAAGTTGACTGTTACAGCAATCCTGCCCATTGGAGGCAGAGCCGGGATGTTGCCCCACTCCTCCACCCAGGGCAAGGGCACCACCTAACACCTTGCACACATGGGTTCCCAGGAGGGGCTGGCCAGATGCCCTGTGAATAGGGGGACACTTAGTGCACTGGGGCTCTGCTTTGACTCAGGACTTTTCAGCAACTGTGGGACAGACAGAAGGCCCCACTCTGCACAGGAAGGGCATGGGGGCGGGCTGCAGAAGGAAGCCACCGCCCACAGGGGGTGGGGGGCTCGGCCTCTGTCCTCCTCATCCTGCATTGGTGCCCATTCCCTGGCATCCTGGCAGGACTTCCCTCCAGCTGCCCTCACCAGGGGGTGGGGGTGAGATAGGCTCTGAAGATTAATTGAGGGGTAAAGATCTCTCCTGACAAGCCAAATATCATTCTTTGTATTTTTAAAATTGTAATTGGGTTAAATAGTGGGCGCTTAATATACACACATTTAAATTTCCGTAAATTGAAAAAGCGATGCATTTCCAAAACAGCATCATTATTCTCTGTTGTATAATGGTGTGGGGGGCCTCTCTGTGGATGGCAAATGTTGATTTAGACCTTGGTCACTTCGGAGACTTGTCTGTATGTGAGGGCATCCTGACCACATGGCAGCGTCTTTGCAGGCTTTGGAAAGGAGCTTTTCGAATCTGACCTCGACCGAATTATGGACCATGTACAATCGGCCATGAAGATGGTTCCAGTCTTGCAGAAGGCCAACATCATCAATGTGGTCAATGGCCCAATCACTTACACCCCTGACATCCTGCCTATGGTGGGCCCGCACCAGGGGGTCCAGAATTACTGGGTGGCTATAGGCTTTGGGTAAGTAACTCTGTGAACTCAGCAGCTATTATAAAATCACTTATTTAGCTAAGTCTGGCCCCATAATTTCAGGATAAAAGAGGAAACTACTGGAAAGAGAGAAAGAATTTTGTCTTTCATGACCGAGGAACAACAGGAGAAATAAAAAATTTCAGTGTTAAAATGCTGACTTTATAAGGGCTTAATTATCCATATAAGTGTTAAAGATTATTGCACAGAAAGACAATCACTTCCTGAAGTTTTATTTCCTGCCATTTCAATTATTCATGTCTTGTTTCATGCTATTACCTTCAGGTAGGTCAATTTGCCCCCACTTTATGAGGATTTTTCATAACATGATGCAACAAAGATAATTCGAAATAGCAAATGTACAATGTGTCTGATGCATTTTTTGGCCATAATTTGTGTTTGCCTAACATGATGTGTTTCAATGTAATTCCTTGTGTTGCTTCTGATTAATGATTCCATTGCCTCTTTGAAGTTTTATTTCTAATACTTATCCTACTAATTTGGCAAATATTGATGTCGAGCCCACTCCATCTCCATATCACTGTTTTTAGCACTCCATTTTTCTCCCCATCTCATCCGGCCTCTTACTCCACCAGCTGTCAGGCCTAGTATTCTAGAGAAGGATAAAGGGTACCTGGCTGCCTCTTATTCTCCTGGAGAAGCAACCTGCTAACAATCTAGGCTTTCATTTTCTAAAGTAGCAGGATTGACATCTTGTTAGGAAGAGAGAGCTCCTTAGTATTTCTAGTCTGTTGGACGCCACCTTAGAAGCTGTCGTTCTGGCTGCAGAGTTGCTGTCCTTTGCACTCCCTGGCCCCTGCCCTCAGTTTTCTCCCAGAGTCTTTGGCTCACTTAATTATTCAGAAGATTCTCTTGCTTCACCTCAGATCAACCCATTGTGAAGGCCTTCATTAGACAAGACCAAGTGATGGGTGGCCCATGCCCACACACAACAGTGATCACTCCACTCTGAGCAAAAACTCAGTTGCATTCTTGGTTTTCAAGCATCTTCTTGCAGAGTAGAAAACAAGCCAATTGTTCCCCACTAGCTACAAAATGCAGGGACCAGAGATCCTTTCTATCTCCCTGTGGGGCCCAGTGAAGGCCCCTGGGCTGAGTGCTTCCAAGAGTACATCCCTGGTTCCTCACAAAGAGATCCCTGCTGAGCAGGTTTGAGCCAAACTGAGTCTGAGCGGCATGCATTCTCCCTTCTGTTTCCCATCAGTCAAGGCAATCAGAGCTCTGGAGGGCTGGTGAGAGTCAGCCACATTGGCCCATCTTCTGCCTCTGTCCTACTCACCTCCCCACCCCCTTCCTTCTCCAGTTAGGATGTAGAGGTTAATTTGCAGATCTGCTTCTCTCAGTATTGTGGGAACAAACAAGCTGTCAAACCAGGTATGTTTAATTTGGATGCCTATGCATGCATTTTGAATGGAAAAGTGGATAATAAAGATTATGTTCCTGTATGTTCAGAAGAGCACAGAACACTCAAATTTGGAGGCCCTGTAAACTATCTGGATGTGTGCCACCACTTGACAATGAGCAGGCGTCTGTCTGTTTTTGAAAGGTACGGCATAATCCATGCTGGTGGGGTAGGAAAGTACCTCAGTGACTGGATCCTGCAGGGAGAGCCTCCTTTTGACCTGATAGAACTGGATCCCAACCGCTATGGCAAATGGACTACAGCTCAGTACACTGAGGCCAAAGCCAGGGAATCCTATGGATTCAACAATATCGGTAAAGTACAGAGTTGCGGTGGTACAAAGTGTTCGCAGCATCTGACTCTCGATGCTCTTTATTGTGTTCAACAGGTGGAGGTGGTCAGGGACCCTAATGCTACACTTCTCCTTAATTACTTCAACTCTTAACTAGCTTTTCATTTTATCCCCTGATATAATGACAGCTTTGATTTTCACATAAATCACACACATACACATACGTACAAGCGCTCCTAGCTTTCAAGTCCTTTGTTTTCCACTTTATGGATCTCTTTGATGTATCTTGTCCTGCTGAGTGCTGGCTCTCCTTTTCCAGTTGGCTATCCCAAGGAAGAACGCTTTGCTGGGCGGCCCACACAGCGAGTCAGCGGACTCTACGAGACCTTGGCGCCCAAGTGTTCCATGGGCTTCCACGCAGGCTGGGAGCAGCCAAACTGGTTCTACAGACCGGGCTGGGACACTCAGTACAGGTGCGTGACTGGCTCAGCTGTGTGCTGACCCAGGCGTAGAGCCCAGGAGTAGGGGAAGGCATACAGAGAGATGCAGACCCTCCCACCCCCAGAAGCAGCCAGGTGACACCACTTTAACGCAGCATTGTCGCCAGGAAATCAGAGGAACTTTCCTCACCCCACCAAGTCCCCCACGTGACCTCAGCTGCCTCCTGAAGGTTTATGTAGCTTTAGGATCTTGATCAAATCACAGAGTACAAAACCTCAAAACAAAAATGACCTTTACTTGGGGATTTTCTGTTCACCATGAAATAGCTCAAAGCACCTCCCTGCTAGGGTGTGTGGGGTGTGTGTGTGCGCATGCTCATGGTAAGCCATGCAAATCATATGCATGGTTGATAAAATAGTTAGGGTTTCAAGTCAAACTAAGGCATGAAATAAACTTCAGCACCTGGCTGCAAGTGCCACGTGTCATGGTGTACTTGTCATTAGTTGTGATTATATATTTTTTCTCATGGAATCCATAAACCAAGGGAAACAAGCAGCCAATCTAAAAGTTGTTACCTTTGTTTTTGAGCTGCCATTTTGCTTCTATGAATAATTTTAACATCTACTTGAAGATCAGAGCTAAATGATATGAAGAATATCAAGCAGTTAGTTGAGGTGAACACATTTGGCTCTATAAGGAGCCAGTCTTGACTATTTGGTAGCCTCATACTAGTTTGGTTCTTTTCTAAATAACTCAGATAAATGTCAGCTCTATTCTTCACTTTGTGCATTTTGGATATGGCCTAAAATTCTTCTCCCATTTTAATAATTAAGCTGCTGAGAACTTACTTTGCAGACCCAGCATCCTGCTCTGAAGTGAACATACTAAATTAGAAGTCTGCTCTGTAAAGTAGAAATAACCTTTTGCAATGTGCCCAGAGACCTTTGTCCTAGACTCAGCTCTGTCATTAACTAACACAAAGATCTTAGAAGTCACATTGTGCCTTTCTTTGAAAATGTGGATAAACTTGGCAGGGGATGCTTGTAATTCCAGGACTCTGGGAGGCAGAGGCAGGAGAATCTCAAGTTCAAGTCTAGCCTAGGCAACTTAATAATTTAGAGAGAACATGTTTCAAACTAAAAAACAAAAAAGGGTTGGGAATGTAGCTCAGAGAAAAGCTCCTAAATTCAATTGCTAGTATGTACTCCCCCCAAACAGGCGCTGGGCCACAAAGCCTGGCAACCTGTTATACTGTGACCATGCAGCCCTGCTCAAGTCTGAGGCCTCAGCATCGGACCCTCAGAGAGCTCAGCTGATTTGCATTTGCAGCGGTGCTGGAGAAGCTCTGCACTGGACAACTCCCTTTTCCTCCTCTGTTCTGATTCAGTGGAGCCAACCCAGGGTACTGGAAAATGCTCTTCAGGTGATTTGAATTCACTTCCAGAGTGCATAGCCCTAGGCAGCTGACCTATGCCTGCCTCAGATGCCATCTTATATGCCAGTTAATTAATACTTCATTTGCTATAAAACGGCCAAGTGATTATTTTTAGATCAGAGCCCAACATATACATATAAATGCTTTGCAGAACAGAATTTAACGTCACATCACTTTCCCCCAAGTAGGATTTTTTTTTTTTACCCAAATACAGGGGTAATGTTTATTAAAATAGCGTCACTCTGCAGCCTTGGACAGTGAGTGAAAGTGTTCTATAACACCAAACACTGCATTTCAGGCCAAGTTTTCGTCGCACAAACTGGTTTGAGCCGGTGGGCTCTGAGTATAAACAAGTTATGCAAAGAGTGGGGGTGATTGACCTGACCCCTTTCGGCAAGTTCAGCATCAAAGGCCCAGACTCTGCGAGGCTGCTGGATCATCTCTTCGCCAATGTCCTTCCAAAGGTAGACAGCCAAGGTCCAGGGTTTGCGCCTGTGTGATTTTGCATCCTCTCAGCGTTTTTTTTTCCCCCAAAAGTCAAAATCCAGTGTGTTATTTCAGTTCACAATCTGATACCTGTGTGAACAACAGAACTCAACTGAGAAAATATAAGCTGCTTTTCAAATTTAAAGTCTTGTTGAGTGATTTACTATATTATCCAAGGACTTAATGATTTTGCTTAATTATGTCAGTGGAAATTTAAAACTAGCTACAAGCAAGCCAGGGATGGTGGCACACACCTGTAATTCCAATATTTGTGAGGCCAAAGCAAAAGCTTCTCCTAGAATTCAGGGGCAGCCTAGATATATGGTGAATTCAAGGCCAGCCTGAACTCCATAGTGAAACTGTCTCAGAAATACCTAAACAAAATTGATTACAATCGAAAGTATAGTTTTTATGATCGCTTTGAATGATTAAGATGAGAAAGCTAAATTAACCTTGGGTTTAGATAGTTCATGTCATTGGTAGAGATAAGAAAAGGAAGCATTTCATTGTTAACACTCATTTTTATTTACATGTGTGTTAAAAGAATGCATAAGGTTTTCAACTCATCCTAAGTTATTTTTAATTATTTGGTGTAGGTGGGTTTTACAAACATAAGCCACATGTTGACGCCCAAAGGTCACGTGTATGCCGAACTGACTATCTCTCACCAATCCCCTGGCGAATTTCTGTTAATAACTGGTTCTGGATCTGAACTTCATGATCTTAGGTAAGCACAGGCAGGTATGCCAGACATGGTGGTGTGTACCTATAATTCAGCACTCCAGGAGGCTGAGGCAGGCTGAGGCAAATTCAAGTCCAACTTGGGCAATAATTAATCGCTAAAGCCCAGGCTATCTCAAAAATAAAGTTTAAACAAAAGAATATTTCATACAGATTACATGTTCACTCAAACTTACACTGAGTTTTTCTTTCACAGCACTTGAAATACAACTTTAATTTCTTCTTTAATTCTGTGCCCTTTATGGGAAACATTTGAAGAGCTGGCCACCTCCAAGTGTCCCTGGGTGTGTTGGGTTTACTGGTTCTGATGCTGTTTGGTCCCATTTATGAGATGCAGTCAATGTTTGAGAACTCCTTCCGGACACTACCTTAGTCAGTTCTAATCCCTTGCAGAGTCTGTGTCATGCTCATTTCATATGAGGAAGCTGGTTTGTCTAACAGGACTCAAACCAAATCAGGCCCTCAATACACTGACTGCACTCAGCTCCTTGCTCTCGGTGCCCAGCCCCCAGCGTCCAGCCCCAGCTAAACTACAGCCCTACTGAGTCAGGCCTCTGTGGGTCTTTGTTAGAAAGTGGTGCGTGCAAATGCTTAAAATACTATTGCCTGGCACAGGTCTTAGCTGACAGGTTCCCACTGTGCTTGTAGGATGATGTACATTATCTGCTCTCACACAGAATGTGCTGCATCCATCCTGGCAGCCGAGCTCTGCCTCAGTCCATGCTAATCCTTCCCAGCACACCTGTGGGCCTGAGAGGGCACTCAAACAATTATAAATGAGGGTTGCAACTGGGTTCCAGGAACTCATGGAGGCTTAGAAACTGAAGCCAGAGTGTCTATCTTTCCTTGTGACTCTCTGAGTAGTGATCCTGCCTGGTGCCAGGCACTTTGTTGACCTTCAGTGACACAAGTGTGCTTCCCACATACAAGCATTAAAGCACAGTTGGGCTTCAATTAATTTTTGAAGAATAACTCATTACTTTAAATGCAATAGAGCTGTCACTATTTAAGAACAATCATACAGTAGAGTTTGTTTAAATCGAAGCATCTGTCAGTCCTGTGGAAAGTTATCTCCCAATTTATATGTGGGCGATTTAAAGACAGTCACTTAACGTCTCATGTTAATGTTTTCTCAAGTTTAAAAACCATGTTTGTATACAGTGGTTCTCTGGGGACTCTTCAATAGTTCTAGACGCAAAGCCTGTCTCCATGGCAATAAGACGCTTGCAGCACGCAGCATCCCAGCAACATTCAGCCTGTTGTTTGTGACACCAATACAGATGGATTGAAGAAGTAGCTGTCAAAGGTGGATATGCCGCTGAGATTAGAAACGTGACCGATGAACTGGGCGTCCTCGGAGTCGCGGGGCCATGTGCGAGGAAGGTCCTGCAGAAGCTGACCTCAGAAGACCTCAGCGAAGGTGCCTTTGCATTTCTGCAAACCAAGTCCTTCAAGGTTTCCGGCATTCCTGTCACTGCTATTAGGATATCCTACACAGGTAAGCACCTCAGACAGCCTAGCGTGAATCCCTAAATTTAAAAGGTGAAGTCACAAGAGCCAGGTGTGCACACAGAGGCACACATGCTCCCATGTCTTGTGATTTGGCAGGAAGATTTCTTTCGCTCAACTCTTAAGACTGGTGCGCCTTTTCACTCCTGAGCTCCAGTAGGTTTCCAAATGCTGCTTCCATCCGCCAAGGTAGCCTACCTGGCTGATCCCTGCTTTCCGCGTGGCGCCACCCAGCCCGGGCGCCTGGTCCCCAGATCCCCTGCGCTGCCTCCCTTGCTCTGGCCCCCAGCTGTAATGCTGGCAGGAGCGGCCACTCCAGTGTGATCTGTGGGGCCCTTCTGGGCTGCCGGGTGCAGGCCTGTGATTCCTGGGCAGGGGCATGGGAGCTGGGGCGTCCAAATCTCCGACCCCTTCCTGGTATAATTCACAGAACTCGCTCCCCGGGGTGAGCCGTCCACAGCCCTGCCCCCGCCGGCGGTCGGAGTCCCGCGCACACGCTGTCGTGCGTGGGCTCTCGCAGGGACATGCCGCGCGCTTGTCTCCTAGAACCGCTGGTGTCTGGGTCATGGACGTTGAGCCTCCTCTCCTCCGGGCCCGGCTCGCGCGCACGAGCGAAAGGATCGAGGTCGCCGTCCTGACTCTGAGGCCTTTACTTACTCTGTCGCTTTCAGGTGAGCTGGGCTGGGAGCTGTACCACAGGCGAGAGGACTCAGCGCTGCTCTATGAGGCCATCATGACTGCAGGCCAGCAGGAGGGCATCGGCGACTTCGGGACTTATGCCCTGAATGCCCTGCGCCTGGAGAAAGCCTTCCGAGCCTGGGGCCTCGAGGTCTGCGATGCGCGCCTCCCCTGGTTCTGTCTTGGTCTGATGTTTGCGGGAGGGTCCCCTCTAGCTCTGGCTCTGGCCCACAGAGCAGTCACAGGTCGCTGAACACCTTCAGTTATGGGGAGCAGTGGTAAGCTCAGGGGACTGGGACTCAGTTCCTCTGGAGCAGTAAGGCCCTCACATCTGTGTGTGACGGTGGGGACCGGGCTGTGGGGCCAAGTCCACCTCCATAACCTCTTCCTCCTCCACATTCCCTTCTTGTCTTGTCTTCTTTGGCAAATTAAACTTCTTTCTTGGTGAGGGTCGAGACCAGTGGTCCTGCATGTGCGGGTCTAGGCCTTCTCCACCATAAATAAAAACATAAGTGTGTCACTGGCGCCGTGCTCTGGTCACTCACATGAAGTTTGGTAGGCACAGTTTTATTTGGCTTCTCAGCTACTAAGAAGTTTTACCATGATTCTTATACCACACCAACTCACACCGAGATTCAGTGAGGCCCTTGGTGCACAGTACACAACCTAGGCCAGAAAGTTCACTGTCACCGCTCTAGATCCTCAACCTCTACAGATTCGTGGTTCTTTTCCTGGAAGCAGTGAGATGTGATCAGGGACTGTGAGCTGGGATCTTCCACCACACACCAACTGTGGGGCTTAAGCCCCCAGAGCCTCTGCTCTTCTGTACCAAGGAACGGCTCTCCTATAGGATTGCATTAGTCTTTAAAGGGCCAGGTGAAATTTCAAATACATTTTAAATCAATTAACTTCATTTTAAATGTAATCTGAAGGCAGGGACCCTTGAGGAGTCAGTTTGCAAGGAAGCAGGTGGCACCAAAGGAGTGCTGAAAGAGTAAGGGGCCTCCCGCATCTCCAAGAAAAGTTCTCTGTTAGTGCACCTTGGGATTTTGTTTGTTGTTGTTCCTGGTATTGTGCCTGGATCGAGCCCCAGGCCTTTGTACTGAGCTCCACACACAGCTCTTTAAAATGCACAAAAAAACTTAATTTTAAGTCAGTGTCTCACTAAATTGCTGAATTGTCAGGGTAATACTTTTGCGATCCTCTTGCCTTGGCCTCCTTGGATTACAATGCCTGGCTTGTTTGTGTTGTTTTGCTGGACACCTGGGCAGCTCTGTTCCAAGATCCAGGAGTGAAGCAGTGGAAACGGCCCTTTGGGATTAGACAGCTCTGTACTCTCGGCCCTCACCAAGCTCCCTGTGCTTCTCCCACCTCTTCACCTTCTTAGGTCACCCCGGTTTTCCAGCGGTGCTAGAGCGCCCTCTCGTGTTCTGATAGCGATCACGCTTCTCTGCTTTCTTTTTCCTTGAAAAACAATCAGAAACTAAACAGATAATACTTTTATCGTGGCTCAAATTGATCACGATGTATGAGGGAAGATTTTATAATCATGTGAAATAATCTTAACGCTCCTTCAGTTCATGTGAGTACTGTGCTATCTTTTAAAGTTAGCTCCTTAGAAGTCCTGGTATACAGGACATCCCAGCTACTGGGGAGCTGAACCAGAATTGCAAATTCAAGACTAACCCGGGCTACTTTTCAAGACCCTGTCTCAAACTAAAAATTTTAACAATGGGCTGGGGACGTAACTTGGTGGTAGAACACTTGTCCACTATGCATGAGACTTTGTGTCAGTCCCTAGCACCACAAAAAAATAAATGAGCAGTTTGATGTCTTAGACAGGGCACTTAAAGGAAAGAAAAAAATGAAGCAAACCCATTTGTCTTGGAGCTGCAGAATGCTGGCTTTGGCCCTGACCAGGTCAGGGCTGCAGTCCGTTTCTTCTTCTGAATCCACAGACACCTAATCTTCTGCCTCCCTCTCTTCCTATCTCGGCTCTGATCTAATTGAAAGATACTTTAAAACTCTTCAAAAACCTAGGTAGGTAAAATTATTACATAAAACCAAGACAGTCGTGTTTGTGGAAGAACGTCCTGTCTGTCCAAATATTTATTAAAATAAGACAGCTGAGCAGGGGCTTAGTGACTCAGCGCCTGCCTGGCAAGCACAAGGTCCTGAGTTCAAGTCCAGATACCAAAATAAATAGAGTTTTGCAACAAATTCAGAGATTCAGTTTCTGTATTTGTTATATTCAAATGACAGCATATACTGAAAGGCTACATTTGAATTTTGAATTTAAATAACTGTTTTGAGAGCAATCTATAATCTTCCTTTTCAGCATCTGTATTCAAATATCAAAAAATGTTCTTTCTCCTAAAAGATAAGACTTGTAAGTGATGTTACCAAAACAATTATTAATCATCTAAGATTTCAAATGTGTGCTTTCCTTTTAGATGAACTGCGACACAAATCCCTTGGAAGCTGGACTGGACTATTTTGTCAAGTTAAACAAGGTATGTTTATATTCCAAAGTGTGCTTGAAGTAAATAATAAGATGATTACACTGTTTTGTGACGGAGCTATGCTTTAAAACTTAACCCAGTGTGATTATAGGAAACATTGATTGGAACATAAATACTATTCCTCAATTCCTTCATATTAATTATTTGTTAAAATTTGACCAGTTTGAACCGTTGGAGTGTGCCTGTGGGTTTAAGATAGCAGAATCCAGCATCTTAAAGGGCTAGATCTGAGTTGTAAGATAAAAACTAGTAAAGATAAGACGATTATCGGGCCCGTTTCAGCAGAGGTGCTCTTGAGAGCTGTGGATGTCATACTGACCCCTGGTGGCCACAGCGTGGCACATCAGCCTATGGCGCACCACCTGGCAGCGTTCTGGACTTTGTCAAGAGAACACAGCTCTACCCCAAGCACTCATACGGCGCGTCGCCTGAAACTGCAGCATCTGAATATAAACAAATGACAGTTCAGATGTGCCCAGAATTCAAGAAGTAGTCACTGAGAAGCCAGCATGGACCCGGGCAATGTTAGCTGACAGGAACACTCCATATTTGATGCCCCACATCAGTGGTCCTCAGCGTCCGATTCAGAAGGAACATCCAATTCTCAGGTTGAACCTGGGACCTCTTAACGGAGTCTGTAGGAGCCAGGCCAACAAATCTGTGTTTTAACAAGCTCTGATCCCAGGATTTGAAAACCAGTGCCCTCACGGTTATTTGTGCCGAAGCCTCTCATGAGGCTAATTTATTACAACCAGCTCAACTATACAACTCCTAAAACTACAGAGATCCTGTGCAATGTCCGAGAATGACTACATAGGACTTCAGAGCACTCACAGTTGTTGGTAGTACTGAAGGGTGGGCACAGCAGCTATGGCTATCTGGGGTAATTGTTAAGGTTCCCAGATTAAACTGTCCTGCCTCTGGTACTTATGCACTAGAGGCTGGTTTCTCATCCTGTGGGAATATGGAACACCCGCACAAAGCAGGCTAAGGAAACACAGTTAATGTCTCTGTTCCAGTCCTTAGATGCTGAGATAAAATATGAACATGAAATGTGGATATTTATAGGACTAGATTTTAGGAAAAAGAATCTTCTACAGATCTTTACATCTTTTCCATGACTTTTATTTTTATAATCTACCATCTGCCTCCAGACTGTAGAAAGCAGGTGCTGGAATTTGGGCAGCACTTGGCAGTGAATTGATCCTTCTGACAGCAGAAGTCTTGCTTTGGCTTGGAAATTAAGGACAAAAACGCCTGATTCCTGAAAGCATGGAAGTTCTGCCATTAGTCACCAATGAGTAGATGGACAGCTGATTCTTTTGTTTCAGTGTTTGGAAATTACTGTTTTGGGATGAGACATATGTGGTTTCTTTGTGTGGAAGTTGGATTCTTTTTTTTTTTTTTTGTCTTTTTCATTTTTATCGGTACCAGGGATCGAACTCACCACCGCCTGCTTGCAAGGCAGGTGCTTATGCCGCTGAGCTAAATCCCCAGCCCCGGAAGTTGGATTCTTAAAACACTCTTTATGATTATTAGCAGGTGTTGACTGGGTGTTTATTAGCTCTTTTAATGATGTAATTAATCCAGGTTCAGCCCTGAAGAAAGTGGTGTAATAGATACTAATTTTGATTGATGATGTGTTTACATGATTTCTGAATTGTTGGTGCTCATTCAGGTGTCACAGAGTTAATTCTTAATTATTTTATTGTATAAAGGTCCACATAGGCTGTAGACTTAGCCCAAATGGAGACAGGCTTTTTCAGCTATGTCAGTTCAAGGGTTGGTTGATATCAGTCTAATCAGGCTGTGCATGTTTATTTCTAAGACTGGTGAATAGATTCAGTCAACTTTGTTCAGATCCTCTTTGGTGCCTTCATAGCAACTTTGGCCTGGTTTCATAGCAGCCAATAATGTGAAACAGGTTCCTGAAAAACGTATTATTCTTACAAACTAAATAATGTAACTTCATATTCAATCCCTAAGCCTGAAAACAAACTTTTAGGCACCTAATATACAGGAAGGATTCCCTCTAAAGCTGGTTAGAAAGTCTCTTATACATTTTTCAAAATAACATACTGCAAGTCTATATTGCTTTGGAAATTTATGCAGGATGAAAATAGAAGCTACACCCAATGCAGAGAGATATTTGATACTAAAACCAAAAACTCTGGTATTTTGTTCAAAAGCAAATAGGTACAGTCCCTTGCTTGGTTCTTAAGCATTTACTCAATGACTATATAAGTTATAATGAGAAGAAATGCTAGGCAGGCAAGTGTTTTGGGGTCCCTAGAGACTGAGGCAGCGGCAGAGAGGCCTTGGGACGGGGTCGCTGAAGCCAGGTTGCCTCAGCATCATTTTCTACAGAGGGGTCCTAGAGGTGAATTGTCCAGGAATCTCTGTTTTTTAAAACAGAATTGGTACAGCATGCCTTTTATAGACTGACATCTGCAGGACCATGCTTCTGTTATACCCGACTTTGTGTCCTATGGTACGGTCAGCATAGCTGCTTTGCCCAGTTTAAGGAGGAAAGTGGCTGTCTGAGGAAATGGACCATCAGAACAAATTAGAGTGAATTAACTTCCCATCCTAACCAAAGAGGGCGCTCTAGGGACTCTTCTATGACAGGGAGGCATGGCCTTCTGTGAGCTCAGGGTGATTAGCGGGCCAGCCTGGCCTGCCTGGTGTGAGGCCAGGCCTGGAGCTCGCGTTCATCTGGGAAGCGTTTGATAAAAGCACATATTAGACACCTTGCTGAGAGCTAATGGTGCTGTGCGCTCCTGATGGCACTCTGGCCTCAGGAAGCTTGGAAATGACCAGGGTTTCAGGAAGATGAGCTGTCATGTGAGTTCTCGGCTTGATCCAGAAACTCAGAGCAACCAGGCGAGCACAGCACCACCCCCTCACGGAGGGACAGTAAGGGCACCCTGCAGCTCCTGAAATCCTCGTACTGCTGCTGTGGAATTGGGATCAAAGGATTATACCCATCGCACTTATAAGAGATAAAATAATACAAGTGACATTCTCTGGAAAACCATTGTGCTTAGTACAGCTTCTTTTTAAAATCCTCTCCCCTTCCTCTCTGTGTTTCCTCATTTCATTCCCTTACCCCATTCTCATTCTTAATGATACTGTCAATCTTAGTTCACATTTATGACCTATAATGTTTACACTCATTGAGGTTACTATGTTCTTACACATGGCTCGTCTTTATTCTACCTCTTGGCCCTTCCCCTTCTCCTCACCCCCTTTACCTCTTGGATCCCTTCCTATTTGAAGATCCATTTCCTTGACCCCTTCCCTCCATCCTTTATTGTGCTCTTTGCTTGTACTTTGCTTCACTCAGATGAGAGCTACTATGTCTGGTTTATTTCATACAACATTACATATTTCAGGTGTATCCATTTTGCTACAGATGTCTCAAAGTTGCCTTTCTTTATAGCCAAACAGTATTCCAGTATGTATAGATTCAATATAATTGTAAAGAAATGGAATTATTGGCTGGGATTTTTGGTTTTAGTGTCTGGTTAATACACAAGGAGGTTTATCACAAGGTTCTAAAGAGAAGCCCTGAACACTTAGCGATTGCTCAGTGGATGGAAGCTACTATAACTGACTCATTTTACAAGCAGTCCATTTTGATTAGGTGAGTGAGACACTTCATCAGAACTGAGGGACAATATTTTAGGTTAGACCCTGTTGCACTCATCATCACAGTCTGTCTCTGAGTGATGTGGCAAAGTATCCTTTGTGGAAGAACATCTGTGACTTCCATGGCACAGTATAGAAAGGTAGAAGTTTCTTACAGTCCAAATGTTTCATTATAAATCACTACCTATAATTTATAAACAGTGTGTTCTTGTCAAGCACAGTATAATTATAACAACTTAGTGTCATTTGTGCAGTTAATTTAAATATACATATTAGTAATTTTTAAAAAAATATTTATTTTCAAGTTGTAAGTAATAGCCACAAACTCATCCATGTTAAGGCTTTTCTATCCTCATAATATTTAATCAATAAGCAAGTCATTTACATAATAGATGGTGGATATTTTCCCAATTGTTTCTGAGAGAGACAAAAAGAAAAGTACATTTATCTTATTTTCTAGGGGCTTTACAAGACATGCAAATAAGGTTAATAACAATCATGATTCAGGAAACAAAGTTCCCTAGTTAAACATTTTTATCTGAAAAAAACCTGTTTATTATTGTTCTTAATAGTATTCTGTCTTATTCCAAAATAGTTACTTTGGAGGGGAAAACCAGTTAATTTTTTTTTTTAGTTGGAAATGGAAGAACTGCATTAATCGAAGCAAAAAGAAAATCAGCTGACTTAGGATAGAGTCATAGGTATTCTTAGAATTTTTTTCTCGGAATTAGTGAATCTGTTCATTTCTGGAGAGCCACCACCAAGTAACAGAGAATTAAGGACTGCGTGTAATGTATTTAAATAGACCAGGGGGAAATTGTTCTGATATTTCTTCTTCCTCTTCCTCTGTCTTGAGCTTCTAATCAGGAGAAACAGAACAAAATATAACAAAAGTATTGAGTACAAATCAGATGACCAGGCTAATTCCAGAAAATACAGTATCTCTCTTTGAGGAAGTTATTTAAAGCATAACTTTTCAGCAAGCACAAAGACAAAAGTCCAATGAGCAAGCACTTAATGCCAGCCCTACTACATCCTAAGTGGTCCATAATTATTAACTCTTCTTTGCTTCACCTCCCAACATCACACCCAGATGTGTGCCTACCAGTGAATTAATCCGTCTCACACAGCCAGGACCCAGTGACCTCCCAAAAGCCCACCTATGGGTGCACAAGGCTTTGGAAAGACATTAGATAGAAACCATAATACCAGTCTGGAGAGATGAAAGCTAAGTCACCCCTTGATATGGGGTAGACAGTTGGTTCTAGGACCTCTGGGTTCTAGGGTGAGATTCACAGGTAGACAGCAGGGTCTCTGTCTTGATGGGCAAGGTGAGCATC